GCTTCGCGACACAGGAAGGAAACACGGAACTATTGATTCATCCCTCTTGACCCTCGAAGTCGCAACTTCCCGTCAATTGCAGTCGCGGGCTCTCCTCAGTGCCCAGACACAAACATGTTTCTGCACTCGGGCGCAAGCCTACACGGGCATGAATACTCCAGGCCTGCATCTACCTCCCCTTACGGCGCCCAGCAACGCAAGACGCCACTACTACGATCAGCTTTCGCGAAGCCATTAGCCCGCCAAAGCCCCAACTCAGAGTCTGATAGCCTTCCCCGGCAACGACCTAGGCGGCCGTTGTCCGAAGTCTATAATCGCCCAGTCTCCGAGGTATTGCCCGGTCGATTCCTAGACGACCAAGGTACGCCCTCTCCGGTAGTTCGGTTCAAAGAACCCGAGACGATACAGTCGCCGGAGCCGATGAGTGAGGACGAGCCGTCGTCGCTGTACGACTCGGATACGAGCCAGCAGTCAACAATAAGCGACAGGAGGAAGAAGAGGCGCGCACCAAAGGAAAGCACCAAGTATCTTCTGGCGAAGCCAGCTCCGAGACCAACGAGAAGGAAACAGCTTCTGATCCAGTCGATCCGCCCCAGGATTCTCATGCAGCTTCAGCAACTCTCTGCCGACAGGCGACCTCGACCCACCATCGATGTGTACCCTTCATCTCGCATAGCCGGTCCACTTGTAGCTACGCGTTATGTTCGGAGATTCCCTGGTGTCTTTGGCATCAAGGGAGAACTGGGCCTGCACGACACTATTTTGGTGAAGAGCGAAGACTACGACTCAGCAGGGGCAGATAGCGAGACCGACGAGGATCACGTGGAGAATCGCGAGCTTCTTGCCGTTCTAAGCCCCCTAAGAAGAGAAGATAAAACAGAGATTGTACTGGATGACGGCTCCGTATGGACGGCCATTCCTCTAGCTACACCTCCAGGATCTTACGACTTTGTCCACGTCGATGCGCAGGGCAACACTACCACAGCGAGATGGGTAAGGAGGAGTCAACCGCCAAAAGCCTCAGCACAAATCAACAGCACAGGCGCTCTGAACAGTCCTGCACCTAGCATGACGTCGAGTGTAAATGGCACATCAGCCCCTGATTATCATTACACTTTCAGCATCATCAACCCCCTGGCTCGACGACATCCCATCTTAGCATCCATGACTCCCCACTCTCTTGAAATTCAAGAAACATATACTACTGTCACATCATCCCATGGCCGATATCCACCTACAAGGCCGATGAGCCGTTCGAGCTCTGGGATTGGACCCTTCTCAAACCCTTTGAATCTCCAATCGGTGGACCCGACAATGGAGAAGACGACACACCCGGTTGAGGAGACTACGAAGAAGCTCATTACTGTCACCGCCATTTTCCTTGCAATGAAAATAACACCCACTGCGGAACCACGCGACTCGGCTGAGCTACCACCGTCCGAGACCCCGTCGACGGCACCATCACCCCCGCCAACAGCGTCAGCTCCACCGCTGTGCCCCCAGATCAAGCGCTCCTGCACGTTGAGCACGCCGCCGCAGGTAACAACCGGGATACCGCGGCGAGCGACAAGCACAGGCGCGGCGTTCATGCACCGGCGGATCTCCATTATGCAGAACCAAGACGTGCGCCAGAGCATCAGCGAGACGGGAGAGTTGGCAGAGCACGGAGGGTCGATCGCAGACGGGAATTCTGTTAATGGGAGCGCGACGGAGGGCGCTGCGATGGGGCCGACGCATGGTGGGAGCCCGGCCGTGAAGCAGAAGCGCAGGCTGAGCTGGTTTAGGTTGAAGTTCACGCACTAGGGTTGCTGTACATCACTAGGCACGGATGGAAGATGACACTACGGATGTGTTGGAGTTGGAAATGCAAATCAAATCATGTCAAATCAAATGGCCTTTGCGCCTCTCTCCCTCTCCAGTCTTGTCGCATATGTGTATTCTTCTGCGTCTCGCCAAGGTGACCTGATTGAGAAAAGTGAGCTGGGCGATCCTTGCCAGTCGTGCCATCTAGCCCCCAAGTCCCAAGTTCTTCTAGAAAGACATCGAGCGGTGACACAATCTACTTACCTACCTACCTACTTAGGCAGCTTTGCTTGCTTCCCTACGGTAGGTAGAACGAACTCGTCGGATATGATTCCGGGTGCGAGCCAAGCGCGGCAGGACGCTCCGCGGGCAGGCCCCATCGCGGAGCGCGAAGAAGAGAGCCACGCCGAGCCACGCCGCATTAGCGCGAGCGCGGTCACCGCTCTTCGCGTCCGGGCGGGGGAGGGGGGAGAAAGCCTTGTGTGTCTCTCCTGCTCGCTCGCTCGCCTCCGTGTCTTGTGCCTACTCACCGCTGCTCCCTCGTCAAAGACAGGAGAAACAGTACAGTACACGCACGCTCGCAGCAGGCGATGTGAGACACGAAGGGTGCGCGGCGAGCTAACGTTAGCTAGCGCTGCTAGCCGGTGGGATCCTTTTGCTAGCTGCCGTCAAGACATCTGGCTAGTGAGCCTGGGAGGGTAGCGCGGCACGCACTACCGCCAAGATGGTGAGTGCAGGTGTTGCTGTTGTTATCCGTGCTGTTTTCGGTTCATTTTCTTATCTTGATCTCAGACATGCAGCTCTTGGGGGTGTTCTTAGGAGCATCTTGTGGCGGTAGAGTTGCCAAATCAAATCAACTTGTCTGTTCGCGAGCCATAAGAGATCGATCGACTGGCCCGGTGACGTCTCAGTGACACCGAAGATCTAGAGGTATACTCAGGTCTTGGAGGTGGTCCAGCCCTGTGTTCCGCTAAGGATGCCATGGCCATAGCACTGCGAGGTCTTGATTGGCTTGTTGATACTCCGCTGGCATATGGCATATGGCATGTGGAGAGCTTTCTTTCTCCCCTTCAGAGCGGACGACGAGGCTTGAACCGTCGCTGCTCGCCTAAAGTCTAGGTATCTGCCATCGGTATCACCATGTTCCGTGTGGTGTCAAACAACTGACAAGCTCTTCCTACCAAGGGGATCAACCACGTGGGAGAGCCAGGCACCAAAGGGACACAGCCGTGGCACCTCAGGGGGGGAGGGGGGATGTATCGTACCTGAATGGGACCGAGTCTATGACGGCGCGGCCTGTCTAAGACAATCAGGATAAGAGCAAGCCGGGTTCGCTTGTGCAAGGCTTCATTTCAGAGATAAGACTGGGGCCAATGGGGTGCCACCCGCGGATCGCCCGTCTCTCGTTGCGCGATCCTTGGCGGAGAAGATGCGGCTCGTGAGATTGATTATCCGGACTCTTTGGGCAGAGCAGAGGCGGTCCTCGGGAGGTCCGCCAGCACGTCTTTGATGGCCAAGCCAGATTCAAGTCAGAGAAATGGCGACTAGCTGGGAATCTATTGCGTTGGAGGACTGTTCTCCACTGAGTGTCTCCCACTTTCCGTCCAAGATCGTCTCGTTCTGTCGCAATCGATAGCAGCCTCTCGCTGTGTTGATGAGGGCGACGCAACCGCCATTTGGCCGGTTATTGTGAGTCCCCATTTCAACACCCTCGACCGGGTCTTGGTGTGATCCGATGAAGGCGGGACGGTAGTGAGCCAATTTTCCCTGGCCCGGATGAGGTGGAAAATGTTTATTACTGGGATGTCAAGGTATTATTGCAAACTGGATGGCAAGTAAGTGCTATCGATATCGCTTGGATAATTGCCCACCGAGTATCAACTTGGGTTTGTGCTGCGCTTTCAATCTCAATACCACCAGACTATCATAGGTAAAAGTGTTCCAATGCGAGTGTATCCTAAGAAGACCTGAGACTCTGGATTTCTGTAGCATGTAATATATCTTCGGCACTTATATCCCATCCTCCGCGTCCTGTTCTTCTTATCGTGGGTTGACAGTTGTGACAACTGGGGTGCAGATGCGGGGTGCACTGTTGCACCACTTGGCGCTTGGGGAAACCGCGGGGTCTAACAAGGCCAAGGCCAGATGGAGATCATAGTGGCGATCAACTTCAGGGGTACAGTACCACAACATCCCCCTGCTTCTTCGATTTCTCTTCGAGACAGTTTGACAAGATCAAGCTTAGTCTCCAACATGAGGATGGACTACATTCTAAGTTCCGAGTCACTCAAAACATATTATACCATGGTCATCTGGTAATTGATCATAGTATAATAGAGACTCGCAAATTGATCTTTCGTTTTTCTTAGACCTAGGTAGGTTGTTCCCGGTTAGTAATTCGCCATCGTCGGAGACTTTCAGCGACAGTTCCTGCCACATGCATCTTCCCTGTTCTTTGGGCATTCGGATTAATTGCCACGTTTTAGCCTGGATATCACCCCGATGACACTCTCCACATCGGCCATACGATGGATACCATAGACCTTACCTGACATGACTCCCCAAGAGAAACTCACGGTGGCAGGGACCGAACGGGGCCGAGAATAGGAAGATCCAAGTCCTCAGGGTCCTTGATTGATGCCGTCAAGAGGGGCGGATTATCTACAGCCATGTTCGTGCGCAACGGCTCTGGGTGGCACAACTCTGCCCTCGATGAGGTGATCATGCCGTTCCCGGTTGAGTGCATCTACTGCGAGAGGGGTCATTGGTCGGAGTGTAACCTGTGTCCCACGGACTACCTAGATACTCTTCAAAGATATTGGGACAATATGTCTCCCCCGGGTCGATGGCTCTGGGACTTCGGGCCTGCGCAGCACACCGCAGGGCGACCCGCTTGGTAGAAGGGTCAAATATAGCTTCATCTATCCTCTACAGCAGGAGAACGCGTAACTCGCTGCAGGGCAGCTTTATCCATATTGGCTGGAGGCTCTCAAGCTGGGACGCGGAAATGAACCGGGGAGAGCAAGCGCAGCTATCTAGAGTGTATCCTGATGATCGCCACGATAAGCGTCCAAAGATGGTCACTATATAAACAATGGCTCAAAGCAGAGTCCTGTGAGGAGACTTCTTGTGTCTTCGACCAAGTCTCTACCGCCTTCAACAACACACGACAGGCCCTGTGAACGAGAAGCTTCAAGATGCAGACTCCGTCTCTTATCCAGGTTCTCCTGACGGGCCTCCTGGCCTCGTCCCAGGTCACCGGCTTCCAGGTTCAGCCTGCTGCTGGTGGAGCCGCTCTGGCCAGACGCTATGCTGTATGATCACCAAATGGAATCTAAGAAAAGATACACGGTACTAATTCCAACCCAGGGAGCTCTGGCTGCTCTCGCCGCGCCGGCCATGTGCAAACCCATCTACGAGCCGCACACCGGTCGTCGCCAGGTTGACGATGATGACGACGATGACGATGAAGACGAGGAGGATTGGGAGTATGACGAGGACGAGGACGAGGATGAGGATGTCGACGACGACACGGACAAGCTGAAGCCCTGGCCGAAGCCCAAGCCCAAGCCCAAGCCTAAGCCGACGCCGACCAAGAAGCCGTTCCCAACTCCATCCAAAAAGGCAAAGGCCACCCCCACCAAGAAGCCTTTCCCCAGCCTGCCGACCCCGTCCAAGAAGGCCAAAGCCACGCCTACGAAGAAGCCCTTCCCTTCTCTCCCAACCCCCAGCAAGAAGGCAAAGGCCACTCTGACCAAGAAGCCCTTCCCGAGTCTCCCAACGCCGAGCAAGAAGGCCAAGGCGACGCTCACCAAGAAACCGTTCCCCAGCTTGCCTACCCCCAGCAAGAAGGCGAAGGCGACCTTGACGAAGAAGCCTCTCCCTTCCTTGCCGACTCCGTCGAAGAAGGCCAAGGCTACTGCCACCAAGAAGCCGTTCCCGTCTCTGCCTACTCCGAGCAAGAAGGCTAAGGCTACGGCGACAAAGAAGCCGTTCCCCATCCCGACGGGGAAGCGCATGTGAGAGGTCAGAGATGCAGGAGGGTTGGAGTGTAGATGAGGGTGCTCGTCTGTTCTGGGCTGTTAGAGGGTTAGATGATCCTGAATGAGCGAAGGGATGTGTCATTGCCGCTTGAAGACAGGAGCGATAGCTCGACAATGTCCAATTCTATTCAACAAGACTTACTTGTATATGTGTTACATTACTGCATCATAAAGTGTCCCGCGCCAGGGAAATGACTCTCGTTGATATAAATCTCTTGCTGCCATATAATGACATCACACACAAATTCCTCAGGTTGTCACGAAATCATGGAATCACGGCACAATTTTAAAGAGATATAGTCAGGGAAGATTTGATGTGACTGCAGTAATCTTTGATTGGTATCGATGACGTGAATCGTGGCCAGTATTCCTATCTAGCCCTCTAACGCCAAAATAATAGCCATGTCCATTGCGGACCCTCTGTTGGAAATGCAAAATAATTGTAAAATGCAAAATAACAATATGCCAAGCTAGTTTATATCGGTTGGGGTAGACGTTCCATATGGTGACGAGGGGATAACAGGTGAGACGAGCGGCGAGAAGTACCGAGAACGCGCGATGGCCTCTTCGGCAGCGTCTCGTAGCTCATGAGCCTGGGTGTGTGAAGTTGGTGTAGTTGGGGTTGCAGGAGAGCTAAGGTCGTTTGTAGAGATTTTGACACCGGAGAGGCCGGTACAGGGGGAGAAGGTGACTCGAGTAGGCGACAGGTCCCAGGCGTCCGTCCTCACCACATGGGCCTGGCTGTCTTGCCGCCCTCAATGCTGCGCGACGTCGCTGCCCGTCCCGTTGATCTCAGCGGCAGGCTGGGTCGTAGCTTTCTCGGGTACGTCCTCGGGGCTGTTGCCGAGAACAGCGCCGGTCTTGACATCGACGAGGTCTTCGCCCTGGAGAACCACCTCCTTGTCGCAAATGCGACGCATCAGCTCCAAGAAGGACGAGTTCTTGAACTTCTCGCCCTGGTTCTTGCCGACGGTGTCGAGGATGTCCATCGCTGCCTTGCGGAACTCGGTTGTGGCGCCGTCGTCGACGGGGACTGGGGCACGCGCGCTCTCCTGACGCTCCTTGCGCTCTTGGCGCATGCGGTTGACGTCCTGTTCATCGGCAATAGCCACCATGGTAGCCTGCACATCATCCATATCGGGCGCGTCTTTGGGTCCATGAGAACTCATCCACTGATGCATCTCGTGCTCAAAGTCTTGATCGTACGCAGCGAAAGCGGCGTCCAGAGCCTCGTCAGTGCTCTGAGAGAGCACGATGTTCTGGGGGTAATGCGCATACTCTCCATGAGCCGCGGGCTCCTGTTGAACCGCTTGGAAGGGAGCAGGAGACTGATGCTGCTGGTGCTGGAAAGGCTGAAACATGACTGGATTGTGAAGAGCTGCCATGGCCTCGGGCTGCATATATGGATTGGCGAACATCGACTGAGCTCCAAGATTTGGTTGAGCTGGAGCTTCTACGCCATGAGACGCACTGCTGTGCACGCCGTTCATCGCTGCACCACCGATTTGCGGATTCATTGCGGAATGAGGTGAATTGTTACCGAGGCGCATGCTCTGAAAGTCTCTAACCCACGAAGGAGCTGCGGCGATTCCAGCAGGATGTACGGGTTGTCCGCCAGTGTGCAGAGTTTGAGGCACGCCGGGGATTTGCATCTGCAAAGCAGGAAGAGATGATGATGAAGGTTGAGACTGGAAAGCATCAAAAGCAGCATCATTGCGAGCTGGATGAGGTGATGAGCGGAACGACTATTAGGGGCGGATTAGTATTGTGGTATTGTTCTTCATTGTTGGGGGGGGACTTACAGCGGCGTTGTGGGCCGGGGATGAGTTGACAAAACGATCTTGTTGAATAGAGCGATTTCGGTCAAAGTGATTCACCAGACTCTTGCCCGCGTTAGAGGGGCCACAAACGCTGTCAGCCATCTTGGTACACTGCTTGCTATCTGCCTAAGAATATCTTGATATCAAGGATAAGAATACGGTGAAAGTTCTGAGAGAGCCCATGTAAGTCGAGCGCTCAGAGTGAGGCTAAGAGGCTAATATCACCCCTGAGAAAGAAACGAGCGTCAGCCGAGGTTTGTATGAATACGGAAGGCCAGTGAGCAAACTGGCTGGCGCAAAACGTGAGACGAGAGGGAAAACTCTCAGTTAGGAGGTAAAAGCGGAGGTATAGGTCGCCTCCATAGCGAAACTGCAAAGAATTTCGTTTGAAGACTGGGTGGAGTGGACGTGAGGCTTAGTGATGAGAGGTGAGATGAATGGGTTGTGCCGGCCCGGTGATATTGTGTGTAGTGGCTAAAGTGGCCGCAGCTTGTGATAGTCCGGGGAACAAAAACGCCGCCACTGCAGAAAGCCGCGGCTAAGATACGGTATAGGCAGGTCTCCACTGGCTTCCACGACGTGCCCTTTCCGTCGTTTACTGCCGTTTCAGGCCGCCTTCCGGTTCGCTAGTGTAGAACCGGACGATCTTATGTAAGCATGGGGTTGGGTTGGTTGGTTTATTGACGATGGATCCATTGTCTCGATTGTTTGTAGAGATGAATAGAGCCGAATGGAATAAAGCCGATTGGTATGGAATTGGTAAAGGTGAAATCCGCAATGACCTATTGTATGTATGTATGTTCACAATAGGAACGTCTATAGATTGTGTCTAAGTAATGCAACGACCGCAGACTATTGTGGAATTTCCAGAGTCATGATTCATAATTATGGATTGCCAAGCGTCTAGGAATCAAGTGGTTGTCCCCCAAGAGTCTTGGGACTTTGTGAGTGATCTTGCCGTTCAGCTCAAACGAGATATTGCATGGAGGATAGTGAGATGTTTTATAAATTTGCGATAGCGCAGCAAGTTGCATTAAGGTTGACCGTGTTCTCATTTAGGCTCTTCGCTTACGGGCGTGGATCGCGTATCGAAGCCTCACGGAGACAGAGCCGGGGTGCACTTAGATAACTTACATAGAAGATCAAAGCCTTGGATTCAGATCAAAACGTGGTCAGCTATGTAGCACCCATAATCAATGACGGCGTACAGGCAGGTTTGAGCTGACTACGCACACGCTGATAATGCAAGACAACCCTTAGCATGCATATAATACGAGATTCATCCTCCTATCGTTGCTCAGGTGTGCCTGGAAATAGATGGCTGCTGCGTCTTGATCTCGATTGAGGCTGCTTCAGCTCCGCGCAAGGCAACCCGGTTGGTGGATCAGCGCTGTACATGCAGTAATAATACCTATACCCCGCAATGGCCGGTGGTCGCCGTTTAACGTTAACGTTAGCCAGTGGAAAGTCCGTGGTGTTTTGACTGTTTTATAGGGGATCTCGGACGGTGGACGGATGAACGGGCAGTTAGTCTGGCCGAAGGCAGCACACCTAAACGGAAACTGCAGATCGACGACGCGTGGAGACGTCTAAGCCGCACTTGGCTTCTTGGGACTCTTGGACCTTAATTCTTTTTTGCGCATTCCCTCGTCTTCTCGATGGTCGTGGCTTCGAATCATTGCTCAAGGATACTTCAAAGCTCTGGTGGTTGACTTTGCTTGCTGGCAAACTTTGCACCGGGGAAAGTGGCCATGAAGGCGCAAAGTGAAGAAGCATCGACATCCGCTGCCCGCATCCTCTAAACTGGGGGGCAATCCGCAATTCACCGTTATCACCGACATGATCACGCGCCGCCTTCTACCAGCAACTTCGTGATCGAGGCTGCGCGACTGTTGCTCGCAAGAACACCAATTAGTGCGCCGCTCTCCCATTCGGCGCCATCATCGCCAATTCATTCGTTGCCGCAGTTCTTACGCAGGAAGCCGGGCCTTTGAGGCACGGACGGCGAACACCGGGAATATGGCGTTCCTCAAGCAGACATGGACGTTGACGTCCAAGAATCTTCTCATTGTCTTTGTGCGCCACTCGTTTGCGACAGTCGTCCGGGCTTTTCTTCTACCAATTGTCCTCATGGCATTCCTTTCCTTCGCTCGAAACCTCTTCGTTCCGCCAGCAGTCTACGGCATTGGAGACACGACTCCACTCAGGTCGTTAGAGGATGCACTGGCGCATGCAGCCCATTCTGGACGGGAAACTTTAGCTTTCGTGAACAACGGGTATACTGGCGGTGATATTGAACGGGTCATCAATCAATTGTCCTCTAGGGTGACCGGGGCCGGGAAGACGGCGACGGTAGTGTCGGAGGAGACAGATCTCGGCGTGGTCTGCCGATCCACCCTGCGCGGCGTGTCACCTTGTTACGGCGCAGTCGTCTTCCGTGCCTCCCCGAGCGAAGGATCCGGCACTATCTGGAATTACACTATCCGCTCGGACGGCGCCCTCGGTAACGGAAGGATCGATGTCGATAAGACCACCAATGATGGAGAGGTCTATATCATACCGCTCCAACATGCAGTTGATAGCGCCATCACGAGTCTCAACTCCTCTACGAACAGCTCTGCCCTGCAAGGCAATGTGCAAGAGTATCCCTTCACAGACTTGACAGTGGAGGAGCGGGCAGATCGCATTCGTGTCCGGTACCAGGGCGCCATCATAAGCTTTATGGGCGTCGGCTTCGTCCTAGGCGTCATTGGAGTATGCTATCACCTAACTGGATTTATAGCTACCGAGAGGGAGATTGGCATGTCAACACTAATTGAAGCTATGATGCCGACTAAACAAAGATGGCAGGCCCAGGCCGCAAGGCTGCTGTCGTACCATATCTCGTTTACGATCCTCTATCTTCCCGCATGGATCATCGGCTCTCTGATCCTTGCTCGGGGAGTCTTCAAGGACACCAATGTGGCTATTGTTCTCATATATCACATCCTAGTGGGACTGGCGATGACTTCAATGTCTATCTTTGGCGCATCTATCTTCAACAAGTCCCAGTTGAGTGGTGTCTCTGTCACCATTGCCTATTTGCTCTTAGCAATTATCGCTCAGGTCATCTCGCATCCGAATACAGGGCAAGTGACCGCTTTGAGCTTGCTCTTCGCTCCATGCAATTACGTCTATTTTATCACTATTCTAGCCCGATATCAGCAAAAAGAGTTGCCCACAGACTTGATCAAAATTGCGCCTAAAAGCCCTTTCAGGATCCCAGGTATTGTACTCTGGGTCTTTTTAATTATCCAGATATTCGTATATCCAATACTTGGTGCCTACATTGAGCGGTATCTTTGGGGGACCGCCACCCACGGACGCAATATCACATTGGGCTCGGACAGATCTACAGACGCCGCCGTCCAGCTGGAAGGCTTCACCAAGGTATATAAGCCTGGGTTTGTCCGGCGCATGTTTGGATTTGTGTCGCGGCCCAAGGATCCAGTGATTGCCGTCAATGGGCTCACACTGACTGCCCAGCGTGGGCAAATTCTTGCTCTCCTCGGCGCGAACGGCAGTGGCAAGAGTACAACGCTCGACGCTATCGCTGGAACTAATCGTCTCACAAATGGCAATATCACCATCGATGGAACAGGTGGACTGGGTATTGCGCCACAAAAGAACGTTTTGTGGGATGAGCTTACCGTAGAAGAGCATATCAGGATCTTCAATAAGCTAAAATCTCCGGATAACGTTGCCACCAAAGAGGAAATCCGGCAGCTAGTCGCATCTGTGGACCTCGATCGAAAAATACACGCCGCATCGAAGACACTCTCGGGTGGACAGAAGCGAAAAGTCCAACTTGGTATGATGTTAACGGGTGGGAGCGCCGTCTGTTGTGTTGATGAGGTGTCCAGCGGTCTGGATCCTCTAAGCCGCAGAAAAATCTGGGATATCTTGCTCGCCGAGAGAGGACGTCGTACCATCATCATGACGACGCACTTCCTTGACGAAGCCGACTTGTTAGCAGATCATATTGCGATTCTTTCAAAGGGGACACTGCGCGCCGAAGGCTCATCCGTCGAGCTTAAAGATAGGCTTGGCGGTGGCTATCGGATCCATGTCGACAGTCACGCAAAGCAGCTAGGGGCGACGCCTGATATTGAAGGAGTTCACAAGAAAGCCTCCTTTGATATTGTCTCATATGTTGCACCTTCATCGAACCTCGCGGCGCAGGTCATTCGCACATTGGAAGCCAATGGCGTTACGGATTACAGGTTCTCAGGCCCCACTATAGAGGATGTGTTCCTTCAGGTGGCTGAAGAGGTTCGATCCGAGGAGGGCGATCACGGCGCACACAAGACGGTCAGCCCTGTCGCCAGCGGCGACGAAAAGCATGTTGCATCTCAAGATATTCCCGGCGGCGAACCTCCCGAAAAGGATGGCCTCGAACTTCAGTCCGGCAGACGTATCGGTTATATCCGCCAAGCTGGCGTTTTGTTCTCAAAGAGGCTCGTCATATTCAAGCACAATTGGTTCCCTTACTTTTGCGCGTTTGCCGCACCTGTCCTTGCTGCTGGATTAACTACACTATTCGTTCAAAACCAACACCCGGTGGGATGTAACGCAGCCGAGCAAGGATCTGATGAAAGTGCTCAAAGTATCTTCAGCTCTGGTATCGGCATATTCCTTGTTGGCGGACCATCTTCTAGAATGTCCCAACAAACATTACTGAACCTGTTCCAACCTGTTTTCAAAGCATTGGCTGGGGGTACTGGCTTGGACAGCACTAGCGAGCTGATTGGCTTGGCAGCCTCGTTCATCGACAACATCACTTTTGTGGACACCTTCGACGACTTCAATAATGCAGTTGTTCAATATCGCAAAAATATAACACCGGCTGGTCTTTGGCTTGGAGATGACAGCTCTCCAGCAACACTTGCTTACCTGGGTAGTGGTGCAGAGGTCTACAGTGCGGCTTTTGGAATTAATTTCTTGGACATTCTCCTTTCAAATACATCCATTGCTACGACATACGCCCCATTTGATATTCCTTGGAATCCTGACACTGGCAAATCGCTCCAGCTTTTAGTCTACATGGGCCTTGCATTTTCTGCTTATCCTGGATTTTTCGCACTATATCCCAATCTCGAGCGACGACGCAATGTTCGCGGTCTCGAGTATTCTAATGGTGTTCGGACACTACCCCTTTGGGTTGCATATACGGCGTTCGATTTTGCCATAGCCATCGTTTCATCGGCTTTGGTCACTATCATATTTGCAGCGTTGTCAGACGTTTGGTGGTATATCGGCTATCTCTTCCTCATCTTCACCTTGTATGGCCTAGCCTCGACACTTCTAGCATATGTCATCTCCTTGTTCTGTCAAAATCAGCTTTCAGCATATGCATTCACAGCTGCTAGCCAAGCGGTCCTGTTTCTCGTGTATCTCATTGCGTATCTCTGCACTATCACATATGCCCCTGTCAACAAGGTGGACGACTATTTGCTCTTGGTACACTATCTCATATCTGCATTCGCACCTATCGGATCTATCATTAGAACATTGTTCCTAGCTCTTAATCTGTTCTCTGCTACTTGCGATGGAGACAAATTGTCAACCAATCCAGGCGGGATCCTGTACTACGGCGGACCGATTCTCTACCTGATCGTACAGTCCATTATCCTGTTCCTCCTCCTGATATGGTTTGATAGTGGCGATGTCGGCGCATCAATCATGCGCATCTTCAGATCGCGGAGGAAACAGCCCGAGCCTCAGGACAATTCCGTCTCGGACGAAGAAGTGGCCAACGAACTTGTGCGGGTTAGCACTACCACGCGCCAGGACGGCACTTCCGACTCGACAGATGGGCTCCGTGTGGTCCACCTGACCAAGACCTTCGGCAAGAACACAGCAGTCGACAACGTAACATTTGGAATCAAGCGAGGCGAGGTGTTTGCCCTCCTTGGTCCTAACGGCGCTGGAAAATCTACAACAATCAGTCTTATCCGTGGCGATATCAAGCCAAGCGGCCGTGGCGCTGGTGATGTCTTCGTGGAGAATATTTCAGTCTCCAAGCATCTTGCCACGGCACGCTCCCATCTTGGTGTGTGTCCGCAGTTCGATGCGATCGATGTCATGACGGTGCGTGAGCACCTACGATTCTACGCACGTGTCCGTGGCATCACCGATGTCGATCACAACGTGAGCGCCGTTCTGCGTGCAGTCGGCCTTACTGCCTTCGCCGACCGGCAGGCACATGCTCTTTCAGGGGGCAACAAGCGTAAGCTGTCCCTGGGCATCGCGCTTATGGGCAACCCGACAGTTGTTCTCCTCGACGAACCATCATCAGGGCTCGACGCCGCAGCTAAACGCATAATGTGGCGCACACTGGCAGCCACTGTACCGGGCCGCTCCATTCTATTGACAACGCACTCTATGGAGGAGGCGGACGCTCTCGCGGGCCGTGCCGGCATCCTGGCCAAGCGCATGCTCGCCATGGGCTCGGCCGAACAGCTCCGCGCCCGCTTTGGCGATGCCCTGCACGTGCACATTGTATGTCGGGGAGCGCCGCGCACACCGGCCGAGGACATGGACCGCCTCGTAGAGTGGGTGCGGACTGCCTTCCCGGGTGCTGCCGTCGAGGACAAAATGTACCACGGCCAGATGCGCTTCTCGGTGCCGGCTGGGGACGTCATCTCGCGGTTCATGAACAGCAACGGCAAGACTGGTCAAGGAGGCGTTGCTTCCTCTGCCGCGTCCTCGGAGACGGAGCGGGAGAAGGAGGCTATCCTGCCGGTGGGAGACGGCGATGATGTAGCCTCTTCACAGAGCGCTATTGGCCAGCTGGTAGTCATGCTCGAGGAACGTAGGGCGGATCTAGGCATTGAGCATTATAGTGTGTGCCCTACTACGCTGGACCAGGTCTTCTTGACGATTGTAGGCAGACATAATGTTCAGGAGGAGGGCGAGGAGGAGCCGGCGGCAAAGAGTAAGAAGGCTTGGTGGAGGTTTGGGCTTTAGATGAACATTACTGTTGGAGCCTCATAAATGAGAGTCCGAGGGTTTTGGAACAGTACTAGGAAGGATACAGGACAGACAGCTTTAATCTCTATGTCGGTGTATGAATGAAATGATTTAATATTGAGCCCATGCAGGGTTATCACCTTGAACTATCAACATTGCTATTTAAAATAGAATGCGCTATGACTCCCTGTCTGCCTACACGGGAGATAATGCGGGTAGGCTTTCATACGAAGTCATAGTTGGTAAATTATAACTTTTTTAGCCTCTATGACCGTTGAACTTAGTGTCACCCGTTTGCACCTGCAGACCCACGGTTGTGAAGTCTGTTGCCAGTGTGCATCATATGCAAACAAGGAAACTACGAGTAACGGCTCATTTAGGCTTGAGGCTTCCACAACCTTCCAGTGAAAGACCTCTTTTCCAACTGAGGGGACTGATTTGACTTCTTATGCGTATAACATACATGAGAACGCCGCACACCATTTCTTGGCCCATGGTTAGACGCAAGTTGTCAATCACCCTGAGATATCGCTGTGATGTGTGAGCAGACAGTGGGGCAGAGTATTCCTCCAAACCATCATAAGCAGACAGTGGGATAGAGTATTCCCATGAGTGCTTTCCTTTGGCGATATTGTCAAGTTTCCGGCGCCACTCACTGAGGGTTAGATCATTGGACTCAGAAGTCTTAGTAGGAGGAGGGTTGTGCTTTGCAACCGTGACCCACGGAAACAGACGCTGTCTTTTTGTTCCTTCTTTACTTGCTAGGCTTTCAAAACCGAACACGATGTCGAACTTATGTATGTTGACAGGGTCCTCATTTTCTGAGACGAATGACTTCGCTGGCGATGTCTCTAATTCGCCAGAAGGCAAGGAGGGAAGCTTTTCCAGGGGTTTGGCCTGGACAGCAAAAGTCACGACGCCATACACAAGACGCCGAATCGTTGATAGATCGGCCATCAGTTCGGTTGCCGACACTGGCGGATTCGTCTTTTCCGCAAGCATATACATAGGAAAGCCAGTTGCGGACCTGCCAAACTTATCCTCAGGATAAAAGGACACCGCACATAACTCCAAACCATCAGAAGTCGTGCTCGAAAGCTGTGTAATTAATCCAATGGCCAGGGGTGATTTTGGCCATGCAAAATTGTGTTTGACAAAAAGTTGTTGCATTCTTCCAGAGCGGGCCCAAAACTCTACGCTTGGGAGCTTGTCGATATGTACCCGAAAAAAACGGGAAGTGCTTATTTTTTGCACTAATATAGACACCCTTGACTTCGTATGATCTTCAGTCTCAGAAAAGCAATCCAGTAAAGCGCTGTAAAGGCCATGACTGTTACGTGGCTCGAGGTGCAAGTTCAAGTCGAGTCCGCCCGGAGATATGGTCACACGCAAGCTATCAGCGGAGAATCCAAACGGCGTGGTGTAAACAGTCATGGAAGAGCTGAAATCTCGAGGTGATCTGGCCAGGAAGCCACTGAATTGCAATGTTTTGGCTTCCTCTTCGCTGATGCGCCAGGCGAAAATACTATTGTCGTCAGTCTGTTTAATGATTGCCTCCTGGAGGCGTAGAAAGGCTTTCCGTGCTCCTTCACCATACATGAGAGGCAGATTGACGTCGAAAAGTCCGAGCAAACAGTAAGACATGTCTTCAGGCTCTGAGGTCATACGCATTGACGCCCATGACATCCTCTGCGCGACGCATAGCTCGTCTAGTGCGACAGGGCCGCGAACGAGTACCTCTTCAGGGATGTGAGTTATCTCGCTGATGATCGCCCTCAGGTCCTGCCGCGTGCCCAGCGGTGTCCAGTCTCGATCATAGAAGATCACGACCTCGGGGGCGATAAGCTCTTGCAGAGTCCATCCTCTTCGAAACCATCGGCTCCTGCGAAACTGCGCCTCCCATTGCTCGTCCAAGGCTGACACGTCGGATAAATACACCAGGCACTCCGCGGAATCTTTGTACCATTGGAACATAGAGTTGATTGATCGAGACAATTCCGCCGAGTTCGTCTGGTCAATACAACACGTATCGACCCATAGGTATTTCAGATCGTGCTCTGCAGCCTGCACGCAAGCCATTTCGACTTTCTTAAAACCCGCATGGTTGTTCAGTGCTCCGTTTGTGATCTTATCTATCTGAAATTCCTGCAGCGAGATCTCGCCATCTGGGTCCTGCAGCCATGTGTGTGAGAGGATAGCATAAGGATGTTCCTCATCCGTCTGCCTCTCAAGTTTGAATGTGTCGACGTTAATTAACCTCATGACTTCAGATACGAACGAGCGGGGCCCGTTGCGTTGCGACCTATTCAACTGGAGACACGACTCGACAATATCAGATCCCTATGGTACAACAGATGAATAACGCCAGTGGGTGAGGTGGCTGATACAAAGTGAGTGACCTTCGAACTGCAATAAACGTGGCAGCAGAATGCCCGACAGAGATGCTCAAATCAAGAGTTCCAACAGAAGACCGCACGTGTGGGGTGAAGGACAGCAGGCAGCTCAGCCTCACCTATCATGCCTATTGGACATTGTGCAACTCCGAAGCCAATGACAGGCCGCCTCAGCTTGTAGACAACGCCACAGTATAAAGCCTTGCCTGGCCAAGGATATATGGAAGTGACCATTCCTGAATTAAAAGAATAGCATGTACCCCTAAACCTGTCAGTGAACTACGACCACGTATATCTCACAATGAAGCTCTCAATAATTCCATGTATGTCAATTACCCATGATGTTTATATACCATAACCAAGACCATGATCGTCGCTAGTAATGTATGCGAAACCTATCCGATACTGCCCAAAAAAAGTAGTCCTGAATGCTCCAATAACATGCGCTCACCGACCGACCGTAAGTAGACCTAGTCCCGTCTTCGTGCTTGGCCTTTAGATGCCTTTTTTTCCTCCCTCTCCCTCGCCAAGTCCTCTTTGCGGACCGCTCTCAGTTCCTCGGCCAGCTTCTGCGTGAGCTTCTCGAGGATCCACTCCGCCTCCTCCTGGCTGCCCATTAGCGGGCTACGAGACCCTACCCAGCTCCATTGAAGCTTGTCGGTGTCCTCACTCGTAGCCTTGGCATCTTCGGTCTTCGTCTCGCCATCGCGGCAGACCTCGCCTCCAAGATGGAAATGTGCCGCCGTCGCGTGGAACAGGCTGGCATGCTCGCTGCCTGCCCCCTCGCTCGGGCCGTCCGTGTTGGTCGTCTTGTTCTCGTGCTTGCGATGCGTGTGCGGCCGCGCCTGCCTATGGGTGTCCGCACTGCGCTCGTCCTCGCCCAGCAGCTTCAAGTACCATGCCCACTCCCGGAAGGTGTACTTTCGCGGCGGGTGCGACTTGAGGTGCTGCGTGACGCGGTTGATCTCGTCGATTAGTAAGACGTGGTAGTCAGCGCGATTGGTGGGCACCTCCTGTGGGATATCCTGCCTAGGGATGGACATGGCCCGCTTCATCTTCACAGTGTTGGCGTTGATGTCGGTTTGAGATCTCTGTGGCCGACTGCTACTTGGTCTGGGTGGCTCCTGGATCTTGATCTTCCCTTTCGTCGAAGATGAGTTGCCCGAGGCGGATGGATCAGCGGAGACGGTTCTGCTGCCGTCAGCATCGGTACCACCATTGCTGGGTGCTCTGGCTATGTTCATGTCTCTATCAGAAGGGTCGACACTACCCGCGACTCCGCGGACTTCCTTGTCAAGGTCACCGGTCGATCCCTCCGGCCCTTCTACCTCCATATCGGTGTCTTCTTCGTCTTCGTCGTCTTCCTCGTTCAAAGTCTCCTGTGAATGTGCTTGCCCCAAAAACCCTGGCGGTAGATCCTCAATCTCCTCCTCAAAGAGTTGACCACAAGACAATGTCTTGATGAAGAGCTTTAGGTCCTTGCGAAAGCCGTGCTCGCCCGGTAGGATGGTGATGTTGCCAATCTGATTTGTTGCATCCCTGATGCCCTTCACGACGGTATCCCCTGCATTAGAGATCAAAACCGTCATGGTGGGAAGGGCGAGCAAAGACCAAAAGACAAAGAAGGCCTTTCCAGCGGGCGAGGCCGGAGTGACATCACCATAGCCAATAGTCGTCAAACTGACAAATGCAAAGTAGAAACCATTGTAGTAAGTCCATCCAGAATAAGCAGACTCGCAGCTCTGAAAAATCAAGGCGCCGATGAGCCACAAAGCTACCCATGTGGTTGAAGAGATACCCATGGCAATCCATCTTCTTCGATGATCCGCCCGCTTCTGGATTTCGCGCATCAACTTGAATTCCTTCTCTCGCCGCTCGAACTCGGTAAGCCCGGTGTCAGCGGACATGGGGCTTTGCGGAGGCATTTCATCAGTAATCGGGATCAGCATATCGTCCTTGCCCTTGCGCGCCATCTGTCGCAGCATCCGGCGTCTCTTCTTCTCAACCATCCGAGCGTCCAGCCGCCGTCTTCCACGCTCAAGGACCAAGCTTCGGATGGAACCAATGACCAAACCGAGAGAAATCACACCAATGAGCGCGTATGGAAAGAGCAATGCTCTCCCGAGATTCGTCTGCACAGAAAAGTCGCCGAATCCGACGGTGAACAGCGTAACATCAGCCCAGTACACGGCATCCAGATACTGCCAGCCTTCAATAGTTGAGAATATCAGAGCACCGATAAGCAAATACATCAGAAACATTATCGTCTGCAGCATAAGCGTGCGCTGGCTGGTGGTGAGCTGGAAGTCCTTGTCATAGTGACCAGCTTGGGCGCCGTGGTAGGTGACCACCATCAGGGAGGAGCAGAGAAAGTAGAGGGCGGCAGAAAATATGCCGTAGTAGAAAGCCTGCGACCAGATGAACTCATCCTTGGGTCTGATGACCAGGGGTCCTGACGCGGTTGCACTTAGTGCGATGAGACATATCGAAGAGATGTACCTGATACATGTGAGTAGAATGTCTTTTGGAGGATCAATGCGGTGCCGGGCAGTCGAGAACCCACCATCCGACGATAGTCACAGGCTGCGCTATAGTGAACCTAAGCCTCCTCGTCATGTTCAGCAAAAGGAACAGATTGGCAATGATGGCAATAACCAGCTGTGCTCCGTTTATACCCAAGAGCCTGTTCACAGTCCGTCATCAATAATGGCACTTCAATATTGGTCAAACCGCTGAGGATCTCACCATTTCGGATCAGGAATGAACTCCAGAAAGGCCATGTCGTCTCCCGGCGCATACTTTTGTCTCCACGGCCGGACCAGTGCACATATACTGAAGGCGGAAGCAACTGGGCCCAAGGTGCCTGCAATCATGGGGAATGCCGAGCTGGCAAACCACCACCGGCTGGTCATGTTAGCATGTAGATCATCCATTAGATGCTAATGCGTTCGTCGTAGACTCACCTTGGATCAAGATGCGCCTCATCATTCTCGATCTGATTCTTGGGCAATTGCTTCTCGTGCTCGTCGACTCGGTCTCCGCCGGCGTCCTGCATTTTCCCAAAGTTTCTTGGCTGGAAGCTGGTAGCTGGCCTGACTAAGAGCCCGACGATGCTCTCGTCAAGCGCGCGACGGACTGCACGACAAACGAATGAAGCGTCTCCTGCGACAGACAAGACGGTCGTTATCGAAGAGCCGTCGTCTCGGCGTCCATTTGGCAGAAGCTTGGCAGAGACTTTTGGTGCGGATTCAGCGGATGATCGACTGTGGACAGCTTCGAGATCTACAAAGACGCGAATTGGGGGATCTACCTTTAGATCTGGACCATTTATGACGTCGTACTACAAACGCCCCCAGCGCTCAGTAACTGCGACCTTGGCACGGGTCGACTTAGCGCTGTTCGAGTGCTGGTTACAGGGTTACAGGGGAGGTGCTAGTCACCCGTTGATCCCTGTCGTGGGGTGCGTCCGCGCTGATTTCTGTTGGGCCTCCAGCGCTCTTCATTGGCTGGACTACCATCATATGCTAGGCATTTGGAGCATCATTTGCGGAAAGCTTGTCTTGCATTCCTTTCCATTTCGCCGGACGTTCTGGCCTTTTTCTGCGTATGAGCACGGATTGAGCGGGTGAGCTTCATAGTGCGCCAGCATCGATAGAAGAGCAATTGCATTGATCCGCATCGGGTAAGACGGGACATCGCCAGTTTCGGCGTGCTCTGTTGCCCGGATCAGGCGGCGATTGGACCGTCCGGCCGGACTCACTCCCGGGACGCGGTCGGCCGATCTGAAGTGTCCTTCGGATCTGAGCTAAGCCACGCGATGAAACGGCTCGGTGAGTTTGTTCTTGGTCTCCGGTGTGAATCATGCCATCTCAACTAACGAAAGTATGAGATGCCCTCTTATTTCCCTGTTAAACATGGGATGCGAAGATGGGCACCGCGTCTCAGACATTGGGGTCCATGCAGGGCCTTCAGTAGCGAGTCTCATCATATCGAGCGCATCTCCGTACCTTGTGGGTCGTCCGGAAGTGTCACCGTCAGGTAAGACTGTGCCATATTACAAAACCTCTCATTATCCCATCAACGCGTCCCTAAGTTGAAATCGTAGCCTTCACAATGTAAACAAGCATTCTGCCTCGGCTCCCTTAGTGATTTACATACCACCCTTCTCGTCCACAGTCGAGGACTCTTCAGAACAGCTTCCTACCTTTCTGAATCGCTTCCCCACCGCTTCGATTCACTACAGATGGAGCGAGACATTGGATGAAGTCAATGCTATCGTGACGAAGCCAGATGAAACCGGCGAGGGCAGCGGCGAACCCCCAACATGGCTGCACTGGCCGACGCCTATCCACGACACTCTCTTCGGCTACGAGTGGATCATCAACAATCTCTGTCCTTCAAACACGCAACGCAGAGACGTCTATGTCTACGGCTCCTTCATCGGCGCTAGCCTCGCTGCCTCCCTGGCGCTGACAGAGTCCCACGCGCATCAGCGCATGGCCGTCCGCGGGCTGCTGGCCTTCAACGGCATCTACAATTGGACCACCTTCCTGCCAGACCACCCAGTCAACAAAGTGAAGACGCAGAGCATCTTTGACACGCCACACCGCGATGCTGAAGGCACGACTTTCCACTTCCTCAAGCAGCAGATTCCGGGCCTCTTCAAGTCGCCAACGAACCTGTTCGACCCCTTTGCAAGCCCTGTGCTCTTCTTCCACACCGCTGGCCTCCTTGTGCCGAACTCATTCACGGACTCCACTGTGCCGTCGTCTCTGCTCCGGGCTATCGATGCGCTGTCTGGCGATGCCCATGCGGAGGAACCGACCGTAGAAACAGCCTTCAAGACGCCAAGGAAGGGCTATCTCGCCTTTCCGCCGCGGCAGTCCAGCCTCAAGATCCCGGAATCACTCTTGCTACATGAAATGCCGCCTCCAATATCAACAGCGGGTCTCGGTTTCGGAAGGAGGCGACGCTCAAGGAGGGTGCTCACGGCCAAGGGCGAGAAATCCGGCGTCAACAACTTCCAGACCCAGGCGGAGGAGCTGGCAGGCATGATGCGGCGCAGCATCAACAAGTTGGAGCTGAAGGAGCGCATGAAGTGGGACGAGGACTTTGACGATTGGGACCACGAGGCGGAGCGGAGGGTGAGGACCGCTGATGTGGGAAGGGTGGAAGGAGTCGGATTCGAGCTGAGTGAGCATGGCCAGGAGTTGGCCGTGTCATGGCTTGAGGAGAAGATGTCTGGATGAAGTAGTAAGGACATTGTGATTTTGATTGTAGCTATATAATGAACTCGACAGGAAATAAATTTGGTATCTTGCCACACAAACGCCAATTCTCCAACGTGGTCATTAACAGATTCTCGTTCGTAAATCATGCACAAAATCAGCCCTCACCGCCGACCGAACCTCGTCTGCCTCTCCCAGGGGCTCGCTGGCGGCGGCCCCGAGTCCAAATCCGGATTCGTCCCCGCCTGCTGATACGACTGTTGGTACTCCTGAAATGGCCCTTGGCTTGCAGGCGGTATGTTCGGCACAGAGTGTCCTGCGTCGAACGCGTGCGGATCCGAATACCGGGGGTACGAATGGTCGTTCTCTCTCGTATCGCCCACATAAGCCTCCTGTTCAGGCTCGGCGGCATGCTGTGCCGCCAGCCGATCTTTCCTGCGGCGGTAGAGGAAATATGATAGACCTACGACTCCAGCTACCAAGAATGGAATCCCGACGCCTAGTCCGGCCTTCACGCCGATGGATGGCTCACCATCTGCCGCGCTGCTAGAGCTGGTGCCCGTTGCCGATGAAGTAGTTGAGGATGTTGATGATGGCGTTGTGGTCGAGCTGCCATCTGAGGTGTTAGATGGCCCGGGATCCGATGAGGATTGGGTCTCTGCTGCTGCCGTTGTCGTTGGTGCCGTTGAGGACGGTATTGTCGATGGTGTCGTGGTCTCGGCTGAAGCGCTTGTGGTCGAGATATCGCTAGAAGTGCTCGTCACAGCTGAACTAGACACCTGGGATGACTCCGGAGAGGAGGAAGTTGCCGTGACCAAATATGACGGACTTCCTGTGAAGGTTGTCCAGGACACGCCGATGATAGTCTGCGCAAGACCAGCCTCGACATAGAACGAGTCTCCACCGCTCGAGCAGTCACAGTCCCCGTCATCGTAATCACCGGCACAGCAAAACCTGTCACTGCCACAAGCGACAAGATCACCATCTGCGTTTGCGCCCTCTACCGTCGAGTTAGCGGGGTATAGTTTCAATTGGTTCAAGGACACTATCAACTCACCTAGACATTCGTCTCCGCATATCGCATCGTTCCAGAGCGGATTTGTACATGCGCCTCTTAATGCCGTCCCCTGAACCAAATTCGGGTATGTTCCGTCTGGCAACGTCGCGACGCACAACGAGTTGCTGAAGCATGTGTACCCTTCCGGACAACACATTGTGATATAAGCCGTAGGATCACATGGATAGAACCCCGAGGCAAGATTGCCCGTTGGGTAGTAGCAAGGTGCGTTGGGATCGCATGATGCCTGGCTTGCTAAAGCCACAAGTAGCAGAAACCACTGGCTTCGCATTGTGACTATGAGCTTCCGCTGGGAAGACGTCTTCAGATCTGACACAAGCCACATTAGATCTGCAGAATTCAAAATGTCATTGTTAAAAGAGAGACTCGTGATATATATGAAGGAAATACATCAGGCTGCGTGTGGCTGGAGTTTCGCCACAGTAAGGCTCTCTGCAAGCAAGATCGCTAAATACAGGACTGCAGCTCGGTTACGCGAGGAGTACGGGGGAGGGAGCCTGACAAGGACATGTTCTACAGCACTAACTGATGCAGGCCTGGAGATCATCACGCCTACTTGAGCAGAAGCACTTCACCACCTGCAGCTGGTGGGCTGTCTCGCTGGAAATCCGGATTGCGAGCCTCTGGCCCTGAGGGCTTCCGGGGAGGGAAACCCAGCGGGCTGTGTTCTGGAACATGCATGCCCAGAGGGGTGTGCCTCGTCGTGATTCGTCTGGCTGTATAGCAGATCGCCACTGTGAGTGGTTGGAGATTCTCTGTGGCTGCACTTTCTGGGATGTCGTTAAAGTAGGTGCATGTGGCAACCTCGGCCACGCAGTCTGAGTGCGTTGAGAGGCGTAGATGACCCTGCACAGCCACACCTTGAAGTGTGGTGCAGTTATTGAAGCAGAATCTCGACAAACACTTCAGATGAGTGGAATAATCAACGGGACATCCAGATCAGTCATGATATAGTGTTGTTTTCTCAAACATCCATGGCTTTGCTTGAGTTTGTAATGTCTTATCTAGAGTTGGGCGGAATGTTTTAGATATGCTTGTGTGGCCTGTGGCCTGGATGTTGGGCAACAGCTGAACAGCTAATTTGAGAGGCGCAGCGGCTGAACAGGCGCTCTTAGAGACTTTTATTTGACAGCATCAATAAAACACTCTCATTTTCTTAAATAAATAAAATGTACTCAGGTTCCGATGAATGCGAGAAACTTATTCAAGTAAGAATGTCATTGTTACCTACATCTCGAGTGAATCCAAGTACTTGATTTTACAACATCATCTCTTTTCACTTTCCACACTCGTTTGAACAGCCAGGATGCCAGGGGCGAAGAAACGAAAGAGATTGGAAGCACCCAATTCTACAGCTTCAGGCAAGTCTATTCAAGGTTTGGAAACATCTACTCCATCCGGAGCGGTGACACATGATTCCACAAACAGTGAACCAGAACTCTGCGCACGATGCCTCGAGTTGGGAGTTCACGAGGCTTTCGCCTTGAAAGATGCCCACCAGGACTCCCCAAACATCTCCAACGTGGTTATGCGGCGCCTAGTCTTTGACCAACCGAGCTCGTTGCGCCAAAACTGCACAACATGTTCCAGGCTGACAAAACTTGGAAATCGTCAAGCGATCGAGCCGTCACGGGTTTCTCGGCGAGATCTTAGTAGCGCTGAAATCGAAGAAATCAAGTCGAAGTCGTCATATTCTTTCTCCGGAAACGTTGTAGTACGCAACACCTCGAAGAGGGACTTTGACAATTTCTCCAAAGGGACTTTTAACATCGCCGGGGAAGGGTTCTGGGAAAGGGAGACATATCGGAAACTGTCTCACGATTTAGAAGGTGGGACGGCTCGTCTCCTCGACTCAAAACCAGACTACGCTGCAGTGTTGGCCTGGATGAATCACTGCAGTGCTAATCACAAAAGGTGTACCCCAACATATTCAGATTCACTTCTGTCGGTACGTCTTATCGACGTTGAAACAAATCGTCTGGTCCCCTACCCCGCTGATCCTACACGACCGGCTGAGTACTTAGTTCTGAGCTATGTATGGGGAGGATTTACTCAACCAAATATCTCTTCTGCCAATGAAAACTTGCCGGAACCCTTGCCTAGGACTATTAGGGATAGTATAATAGTCACAAAAGCTCTTGGTATAAGATACCTATGGGTGGACTCTATATGCATAGATCAGTCCAACAGCCTCGAGAAGGAGAGGCAGATCTCGATCATGGACTCCATCTACCTTGGCGCTTCTGCCACGATCATCGCTTTGGACGGAGAGGACGCCAATAGCGGCTTACCAGGTGTGCATGATACGGCTCCGAGAACCCCCCAGTTCTTGCTTGAATTCAGTCCTGGGGACCAAATGGTTGAAATGTTTCCGCCACTGAGTGAAGAGGTTCGAGTTTCGCGTTGGGCCAGGCGGGCGTGGACTTTCCAGGAGGGCATCTTATCTCGAAGGCGGATCTTGTTCACCAAGCATCAGGTTCACTACCTCTGTCACGAAATGAGCTGCTGCGAGACCATGAACGACTCGACACAATTCGGTCGAAAGAGAGACGTGGCCACGGCAACAGAAAAGCATCGTCTGGGACGTAGCATCACCGCTCTTGAAGACCCGTTACACATCCGCGACGATAGAAATCCTGTTCAGATATATGCAAACATGCTCAACCAGTACGTCACCCGCTCTATGTCGCACGATTCAGACTCGTTAAACGCCCTGTCTGGACTCCTCCAGTATATACAACGGAGCTTGTTCCCACAAGGATTCCACTACGGGCTTCCCGTCGAGGAGTTTCGGACCACTCTTCTGTGGCAACAAAGCAGCGACTCGCCTTACCCACATGACCAATACGCAATGTTGAGAAAGTCACGACGCCGCATCGCTGTGGAGCTTCCCAGCTGGAGCTTTGCAGCCTGGCACATCCAAAAGAAAATTCGCCTTCCCTTTTGGGAGGACGATGAGGGCTATGTTGGGTTTCGACCTCCCTTGCGTATCACTGATGAACAGGGACGTTGTCTCTGTGACACTTTGCACGACTTTACCAAGTTGAGGCGATTACGCCATTCAACGAAGAGGACCAAGGTCTACGAAGCCGCATTGGCTTTACAAGATATATACGAGTGTGGTACAGAGAGGGCAACTTACAAGCCAACGAGTAGCTCTGAAGGTCCGGCCGACAAAAAGACTCTCCGGATACGTGGATTGATGCTGTCACTACCCTGCGCCTTGACGAAGTCGTATGGCATGTTTCATGGCTCCAAACCGGTGAAGCACCCATGCCTTGTTTGGTCTGTTTTGGGAGTCGATGAAGATAGCTATGATGAAAATTGGTATGTGGATGGGCAATATAGCCGATTCAAGCCCAGCTCTCCAGACGGTGGATATCAAATGCACGAATTGTTACTTGTTGAGACAAACTTCTATTACTATGAAGGGTCAGACGACAACCGCGACCTGGAGCTGGACTTGCTGCTTGTGTACGAGGAAGGCAATAGCTACGTTCGCGGAGGGGTTGCTAAGCTCCGCGTGACTCTTGAAAAGGCCAATGTTCTCTTCAGAGATACGAGAATGAAAGACATTTTACTCGAGTGATAGACCGATAATATATTTTATTCTAGATTCAAGGAGAATTATGGCAGTCTCTAATAAGATGCAAATGATACTGCGTACAATGCTACTACGGCCACCAATTGTTGCTCGTGTGCCGACCTCAGGGTATTCAAATGTTGGACTAGAAACTATGCAAGCGGATATTGTACGTTGACGGCCGCTTCCGCCGAATGTGTTATTACAAGGAAAAAGAAAAGTCTGACCCAGTTGTCAACTAGACCTTGAACTCAGTTGCTAATTTGCGGTCCCGTTAACCTTGCTTTCGTCATTCTTGGAAGCTGATGCTTTCGGGAGTTCTTCTGCTGCAGTGACAAAGGTCTCCATCCCTGGCCGTTTTGGCTCTGGCACGACGGCTGCTCCATTGACTGCGATGGGAGTCGGCACTTCACTTTCATCCTGTTTTCCAAAGTCTATTACCCCATTCAAGGGCGAGGCCGGATTGTCGGGACTTCTGGGCATGGGACTAACAGTGCGCGAAGCTTGCTCGGTGTTTGAGGTGAGCGTCAGCATGCTGGCTGTTTCTGCCTCCTTATTCAAGCTGAAGGGCACAGCAATGCCGTCAACGTACGGCCTCTTCCCTGATATCCCGATATCTGGCTTGTAATCTGGGCTTAGGAAGTCCGCTTTGGACTTGGATGCAGGCTCGTCTTTCTTTCCCCCTCCTTTCAGTTTAAGCAACTCAGCAACCGAGGTATTCTCGTCGGCCTCGGTCTGGTGCTCATCTACGACTGTCCTCCTCCGCGACCTGCTTCTGCTTGTAGCATTTGGAGGAGGCGCAGTGTCCTGCCTCTGGATGTCCTTGAAGGCCCTTGCGCCCTCGCCCTCTAAACCGGTTGCAGTCCTGACCTCTGGCTCTTTGTTGGCTTCCTGTTCCCGAACAACAGTCATCTCGTCATGCTTAGAGCCCCATAGTGACCATAGCGCCAGACCAATACTCTTAGTCTTCTTCTTCTCCTCGAAGGCTGCGGCGCCGATCTTTCTTCGGCCCGCGAGAGCGCTGGGAGGAGGGAACTCCCCTGCGCCAAAGCCCTCATACCCAACAATTAAGTCCTTGACGAATCTCTTATGGACCTTCTTCTTGGCGGAAGAAAAGCGAACATCCCACTGTTGCTTCTGGTCTAGCCATTTCCGGACTGGACCTTGTTTGATAATACCAACGAGTTCGTTGGCCATGATGCAGCCTGGCAGTTCCGAGGCAGGGGCCAAGGGGAAGACAACGCCATGCCTGGTTACTCTCTGACGAATCATGTGGTTCTTGAAGGGGGGCAGGGGATCACCAGCCTTTCCGATCTGCCCATTCGGTTTCAGAGGTGGCTCTTTCTCCTCCTTCTTCGTCTCGGCTTCATCGCTGTCGGAGCTGTCGGAGCTCGAGATGATCGAGATCTGGTCGTCATCGAGAATGTCGATCTCAGTCTTCTGTGCTCTTGCAAGAGCCCAAGCGCCAAATTGAGCGATAGAACGGTACATGTACTTGGCTGGTCGAGTGAAACTGAGAGTCGGTGCAACATGGCATAGGTCATCCCAGACTTGGAGGTGGACATCTGTCGGTTTGTATTGCTTAACTTGAGCTCTTGCCTTCTCATCCATCAATGAATCCGCAGGCAGATATTTAGAGGGGTTCGCGCATTTGTGGGCGAGATATATCTGTTCGTCGCGTAGAATCTCACCTCCACCCACCATAATGAGTAGCGGAGGCAAACCACCGAGTGACGGTTGCATAACAGGGCTAACAAGTGGATGAGACAGAAGCTCATTCGTAGTGTACATCTAAGTCCGGGTCAGCTAGTTTCTTGCCGACTATCAGTTAAAAGCCTACTTGAATTTGTTCTTCAATTTCAATATCCTTGCCGTCAAGGGTCAAGTGAAGCCGTGTCGATGCTTGAGTGATCTCGTCGCTGCTCGGTGCCGCATTGGCATCTTTGCTGTTTGCACTTGCTGAATATTCCGCATTAGCAAGGACACAATATTTCTCATTCATCTGCTTACCAGATTTTTTTCGCTTTTCTTCCAATGCTAGTTTCTTCAATTGATCCAACTCGTGCTCGTTCGGTGGTGGCCAAGCTGGGGATGGCTTGTGGTGGAATCCAGATTGAGGAATGTAGTCAAAAGGGGCTTCGCCAGCAACACTGGGGAAAGAGTGCGTCAAATCGACCCAAGGGCTGATCAGAACAGCGCCAGCAGGTAGTGGGATTCCTTGATCTCGGAGCGCCACAAGCATTGATACCACCATGCCGCCGCCAGCAGAGTCACCGGCCAGTATGATCGTGCTGGGATCCTGTATCGTCAGGAGGTGAAGATACGCCGCCAGACAGTCCTGCAGACCGCACGGGAAAGGGAATTGAGGCGAGAGGCGATACCGGGGCGCAAACACCCTGGCCTTTAGCTTCCGAGCATGTCTTTGCATCTGATAGCGATGTTCGTCGACACTTCCGAAGAAGTAGGCACCTCCATGGACGTAGAGCATGACACGCCGGCCGGGGTCGTTATTCCTCTTGCGCTCGTTGTAGTCGGACCGCATCTCGATCCACTCGGCCTTGAGCGGGCTGTTGGGCTTCCTCCACTGCCACCACTTCCGCCCGCCGACCTTGCGGACGCCGTCCCGGCCCAGTTGGGCCTCGAGCACCGCCGCTGCATGGGCGATCTGGTCGTCGGGGATCTTAACCTCCTCGACCTTGACCCATTGCGGATGCGGCACCCATTGGGCCGTGAAAGCCTGGAGCTCCTCGACCGTGTGGTGTGACGCGAATGCCAGGAAGGACCTGATGAGATGCAGACCTTCATCGTAGGACAGGTGCGCTGTGGGGCGCTGTCGGAGAGGCTTGCGATTGAGGTACTGTGATGGCCTATGTCAATACGGGTCGAATTGAGATGGGATGATGGCCAATTGCAAGCTGGAAGCAGGGAAGCAAGCCGGATGATGGCAGTGGCATTGTGGATGCCATTCCCTGCTTTGCGTCTGCACGGGAGCTGGTCCAAACAAGGCACAGAGTGCAATGCATAGGGTGTACGTACATGTGATAAGAAGGTCGAGACCACAGTCGGCGTGACCGCCATCGACACGGACGCGGTGTTGAGGTTCATTTTCGGCGTGCGCTCCTACGCTGAGTCTGGCACATTCAGTAGAGCTGCTCAATTGCAAAAGAGGAGAAGAATCCCACGAGGTGATGAGGGGATTTTGGTATCTTGGGATCTTCATCTGCTGGGCAAGCCCATTTGAGACATAACAGGCGCTGCTCACTGCACCACGCTGCACTAATTAGAGCTTCTCGGGCTGCTGGCGTTGCCCGGAAGCTGGGCCAGTCTAGGGGTTCAGTGATGTCATCTGGCGCCCAAAACGGCGCTGGCGCAGCGCTGTGCCACTCCTCTTTCCTTTGCCGGCGCCCTCGGATCTGGGGTTGGATCGGCAGGTCAACCTTAACCTGAAATGCCCCGCGCCGCCGTATCCAGGTGTGGACTTAGTCGCGGGGGGAGTGAGGCTAGTGGCGCTCACAGGTGGGAAACATCGACAAAAAATTATTTTGCTTCAATATTGAATGCCCCTCCATCCTAGCAGACGCACCCAACGACACAGCCTCCACTGGCCACGCTCGCCTTTTAGCACTGATCATGGCTTCTGATGCACTCTCTGGAGGTACATATTCTTCTGGCCCGACAAAATTTCCTAAATAACTGACTAATGCATGTGACAGCCGCTCGGCAATCCAACTTCGAGCAGGGCGTCGCGCTCTCCCTCAACCTGTGGCCGGACCTCACCCTCGCCGTGCAGAACCACTGGGGCGGGCCCGACTCGGCTGACAAGCGCGACTGGTTCGCTGGTGCCGTCGTCGACCTGTTCCCCGACCTCGCCAACCCTCCGAAGCCCACAGACAAGCCGCAGAATGGCGCCACTGAGACCGAGGAGCCGGACGTCGAGTACGTCGAGACGATGCTGCTGCAGGTCATGCTGGACGAGTTCGAGGTCAACGTCGACGATGACTCCGGGTTTGACGTCGCGCAGGAGATCATTCGCATACGCGCGGGGTGCCTCAAGGGCGACTTCGAGGAGGTGGACGCTCTGAGGCGCAAGTACGAGGGTAAGAAGGGCGGCAAGGTCGATGCCCTGTTCAAGAAGGCAGAAGATCAAGACAACGATACGGATTGGGACACCGAAGACGACGAGGAAGACAGCGACGACGACATGGACGATGCCCCGCCCCTGGTTGAGACAAAGAAGGAGAAGCCACCGCCGGAAGTCGACGAAGATGGATTCACAAAAGTCACGAGGAAAAGGTGATTGATATTCCGCTATGGGCACTATCTTCCTCGAAGAGATCCAAAAGTCTGTACATGGGAGCACCAATTATTATACCGCGCAAAATCGCAACATCGTACGGCTATCTAACGCCAATCCCAATTGCGCATTCAAAAAACCAAAAACGATACCCGGGCGGGCTTTACTCCCAGTCCTCCTCATCACTGTCGTCCGCCTTTCGGGAGTCCTTGGGGCTGTTGGGGGCTTGGCTGGGAACCCCAGACGTCGCGCCAACCAGATCATAGCTCGTGTCGCTATCGGCCTGAGACTTCTCGTCGTTGGACTTTCGTGGCTCCGAGGGCTTGAGAAGGGTTTGGGCGGGCGTCTGAATCTTTTGTGGGTGGAGAGTCGTGGAGGACTCGGTGGATGCTGGTCGATCAGCTTTGGTGGACTTGCTAGGTCCGGCCTCGTCATCAGAATCCTCATCCCATCCAACTTCTTCCTCTGCAGATGCAGCTATATGCTGGTTAGCAAGGTGTAACCAGGCAAGGGGTCCCATGAAAACAAACCCTTCAGCAAATCTCGTCGCCTCTCCTCCGCGATGTCAATGCCATGTCTCAAAAAGTAGTATCTCTTCCAGAAGTCGGCATAGGGAATTTGGTCAGGCACAAGCTTCTCCATCGTGGTCCTCAATTCAGGGTATTTAGCCAGATCCTTGCTGATGTCCTCCGTCTTCTTGTCAATGTCAAACTCCTTAGTCCATGATGCATATTCCTCGGTCGCGGGATCCTTGGTGAAGCCCTCCGTATTGGTGTGAATAACATGTAGCTGAGCATCGAATCGAGACGTGTGGAACACCTTCTTGCCCGAGGCGTCCTTGCTCTCGAACATAACGGTGCTTCCCTGGTTATCGCCGGTGCCGGTGGAGGGTGCTATAACGACGGCATCCCGAATGAAGTCTCGGATGTTGGTACCAAATCGCAGCAATGCCTCGTCTGCAGCCTCCTCAGCTTTCTGGATATCCTTGAGCCTCTTTGCAGCCTCGGACTTGAATCGAGACAGCACGGTTTCAGAATCTTGGATCGACTGGTCGGATGGGCCAGCCTTCGAAGCTGTCGGGGTTGCTGCAGGGTCCTTGTCTCCTGATGGCTCACCGGCCTGGTCGGCCTGGGGCCCGGTGGCTAAGGATAGAGCTCGGGTTCGGCTGATAATCGAGGACCGGAGGTCAGAGAGTCCCCTGGTTGCCTCCTCACCAACGGCAGTAACCTCTTGTGAGACTTCTTTGTAGACAGATTCACCCTGGCCATATGTCAACATTATATCCGACGGTCAGGCCAGAGAGGGCGGGGTTGGACATACCTGCTTGACTACATTGCCAAAGAAGCCACCAATTCTCGCGCCCCACGGGCTCGAGGAGATGGCCTTGTAAGCTTCCTGGAAGTCAGCATTGAGGGTTGACTGCTGCTGAGAGCTCCGGTTCTCTGATCCCTCGGCGTCCTTCGGGAGAGACTCCTCGGTGATGTGATCGTACGCCAGATCCATGGCGATGGACGATTAAAGTATTATGTCAATAAAGTGTTGCAGTTCTTTCCCTCCTCGACTATCCTATCCGTAGAGTGGAGGTCGTGCAGCCGATAAGGGGGGAAGCTTGAGCCCTGTTGCGTCGATTGTGTTTTAGGAGTTCATTCCAGGGGTGGAGCTTCGCCTGGGAGGCGGTCGGGTTCGCTTTGGTGCATGTGCCAAGTTGCGATCACCCGTCATCTCCTGGCTAACTGGATGCGGGGTCCCTTCCTCCCTCATCAATTGATCAATGCTGTAGCATGGTAATCACGTGCACGGACACGGGATGGCTTTCTCAAATGCATCACCAAAATGGCATAGAGAAATGCTACACATATGTTGAGAAGGCTTACAGCTTCGAGAGCAGCTGGTAAGGGAAAGACACGATGACGTACCCACAGCACCATACCTGCTATACCGGATGTTGGCAAGATGCGGTCGAGGTCGACGCCTCAAGAGACCAGCATAGTCAGGAGACGACGGCATTGAACTCTTTGATGCATGTGAAGAGAGCATATTCACTTGCCTGAGCCCCAGGCTCTGGCAGCTCGGATCTACGAGTACGGCAAAGGACGAAGGCTCCGTTGCCTCATCGTCGACGGTCAGGTTGGGGCCAGTCTCCTGCCAACGATGGTACTTTGTACCAGATAGAAAAAGCCCACAAGGCCCGGGCATTACAGCGTCGGGTTAGCGTCGGCATGAGAGATCCCAAAACGACATTCCTCGCCGGGAGGATGGGAATGTTCTGCTAATGCCATTGCAAGCAGATAACCCTCCCTGGGCTAATTCCTTCACCGTCTCAGCTGCACTTCTCATCCTCCTGCTCATGCTCTTCGGCCGGGTCAATGTTGCAAGCTAAACGTCTGGTAGCAGATCCGAGGTAGCGGCGGGTGTGTGCAGCACGGAAGCGGTACCTCCGCTCGTTAAGCACATCCCGGCTCCGTAGCAATGGGACCTTACTCAGCGGCTCACAGCAGGTCACCGTGCGCATGGACGGCTCTCCCCAGCGAAATGCGGGGGTTTCTCTACGGTGTTCGCACAGTGGGAAATGTCTCCGAGTCCCGGTCCAGGCCGGGTCATCACTCCTCGAGCAAGATAAAGTGGCGGCGATCAGCTGTTGCTCTGCCTGAATCCTTCCCGCCCAAGGCCATCCTCGGTCTGGTTCATCAGGGCGGCACTGCACGGGGGCAGGCACCTGGCACTGGCAGGGTGAGAGCACGACATGGGGAGGACACGGTGGCGACAGTCGCCATAGCACGGGGTCTCATCAGCACAAGCGGGATCTGAAGTACAATTGTACTATACCGTTTCTACGTGTAGAGCAGTAAGTATGAGTTAACAGATGGGGAATCGGGGGAATAGGATGGGCGATTTGGAGGCTGGGTCGTACGAAGGAGGGACAGGCAGGGCGTGTGTGTATCAGGGACGGATCTCCTAGCCTTATCTCCTAAGAGCGACCGAGACTCCTGGTACCTTAGCTGAGGTATGTACTGCGTAGGGTGTCATGATTGCCCACGGACGAGTACCTGCTCTCTCCTGACTCGCGAGGGGTCAGATAGATTGTCGATGCTGCCATGGCCCTTCTGCAGCATGCGTAACAGACAGATGATCTGGCTACAAGGGCGAATTCAAAAGAAAAATCAGGGACAGAGGGACGTTGTCCGATCTGACAGGCCGGTAGGATACGATACATGCAAACCCCTGGCCTGTACCGCTCGCTCTGGCCGTCTTAGTGTTCGCTGAAGGCTTCTTTTTCGGGAGTCTGGCGGTGTTGCCAGTGGCTTCCACCACGCCCTTGGGTGCTGACAAATTGGAAATCAAGCTCTTTCGACACCCCCTCCCCTCTATTCGAATCGAGTCGGAGGCACCACCCAACCCCCTCACTCACACTCACGCTCACGCTCACACTCACCGTCCGCCCGCTCTTCTTTTCGCCTCACCACCTGCAGCCAGCTCTGGCGGGGATTCTCATACCTTTCAACACCAAAAACACCCCGACCAGACACGCTCTGCTCAATCCGGGAAGGCCTGCAGAAGATTCTTTGCCGGCGTGAGCAAACCTTCCCTCCATCATCATCTGTCTACAGTATCTAAATTAGAGTTACCGTTTCCTACTGTAGTCTAGATTCTAGAAGCAGGGTGAGTCAGGCAACCACATACAAATCCCGTCAGGCGGAAAGGCCGCAACTTTTCTCTCCCCTCCCACTTCCATCCCTCCTCTGTCCATCTGCCCGTCCCATCGCCCATCCACCCCCCAGCGTCAAGTCACATACATACGTACACCACGTACACCTTGGATCGGGAAGGAGCACAGTCAGTCCATTCGTCGGCCGGGCCTCGCTCCATTTCTTCACTCCTCCACCTATTCCTGTTCCTGTCCCTGTCTGTGGGAGGCGAACTTTTTTCCCTTCTTTCAACATCCTCCCCGTCTCATCGTCTCTCATAGCGTCATACCCATCCCTTCTTCAAGGCCGGGTCTGACCTCACTTGGACTTCACTCCTCAACCTTGACCGTTCCGCCTGTCTGACATTGCCTCTCAGGAGACTGCGATCGCAGACTAACTCCAGGACTCCGGTCGACGGCTGTCGACCAACAACATCTCTCGATCACCCTGTGATCGTCCCCCGTAGCAACTTATCTCTATCTCAATTCCAATACAAACACTCGCGGCTGGTCCTCCAGTCAGCTCAGCTCAGCTCATCTCATCTCGAGGAGAACGCGGACGGTTTCGTTGACCGCGCGCTCTTCATATCTTGGGATCAGATCCGCCTCTGGCCATCATATCTACTAGCATACAGCTCGCATTCCACCTACCTTATTCGCAATGGCTGCGACTCGTAACGCTCTGAACGACTTCGTTCTCACCCCGCAGCAGCAGAACCTGCTGTTCGCCGCGCTCAATTCCAACAAGCCGGCCAGCGCCTCTCCTGCCAACAATGCACTGAACCTGTCTCCAACCTCCTACAATGACTCTCCCGTCCAAAGATCAGACGCTAGTGGCTTTCAAGAGAGTCCCTACTTGGACTACGACTACGAGTTCAACGGCGACTCCAGCTTTGATTTTGACTTCGCCAATGGCGGCCAGCCCAAGATGATTGGTGATCTGCCTGGCACAGATGACACCTCCAAGGCTGAGTCGGATGATAACGACGGCAATGATAAGCGCAGTCATCCGGATGATGATGACGACGATGAGGAGGAGAGCGCCAAGAGGCGTGAGAGCGGAGAGAAGACCGCGAAGAAGCCAGGTCGAAAGCCCCTCACCACAGAGCCCAGCTCGGTGCGTTCAACCCGTACTTCTATGCCAATTGACTCGTCAGTTTCTAACAGTGTTGCCGTACAGAAGCGAAAGGCTCAGAACCGAGCTGCCCAGAGGGCTTTCAGAGAACGAAAGGAGAAGCATCTCAAGGACCTAGAGACTAAGGTCACGGAGCTTGAGAAGGCGTCTGAGGCTACAAATCACGAGAACGGACTTCTCCGTGCTCAAGTCGACAAGATGACTGTCGAGCTCCAAGAGTACAAGAAGAGAGTGGCACTGCTGGCCGGCTCTACTCGTGCGCCACCTCAACCCCAGAGGACTGCTTTTGGCCAAGCGGTCATTAACAACCTCAACGATGTCAACTTCCAGTTTGAGTTCCCCAAGTTTGGTGCTCTTCCTGGCCCTCCGCAGCCGAGCACCACTTCGCTGCAGAGTGCACGATCATCCCTGTCACAGTCTCCGAACCTCAACCGGTCTCCTAGCAGCCAGGTCAGCCCCAATGACCAGGGCAAGGGCAGCGTTAGCTCTGCAAGCTCGCATTATACCAGCGGTCTTGATGCCCAGACCAAGGAGGATCTGGCCAAGTTCTCTGGCATCTTCAGCCCTCCATTGACAAATAACAATGTTTCCAATGCTTCAAGGAGTAGCCTCGACTCTCACTACAGCGCTGCGGCAACCAACACTAGCTCCCCCTCGGCATCATCAAATTCCAATGGTGGCCCCAGTTCTTCGTGCGGAACTTCACCAGAGCCCTTCACTCAATCTCCCATGGGATTCAAGCCTGTTGACACAATGGCTACAATTGGAGAGGAGCAGCCATCTTTGGCTAACAACAATCAAGGTATGCTTTGAACACGGGGACGGTCGACTATTGTCAGAAAGGTGCTAAATTATTCCAACAGATTTTGGCCATTTTGCCTCGATTGACATCAATGATATCAACTTCCTGGCATCTCAGAACAACTTCCAGTTCGATCCCCAGCTGTTTGGAGACTACCGCGAGCCTCAGGATAATGTCCTTGGCAGCGGTGGTATCGATGATAGCTTCTTCAATGATGCCTTTGATATGGATTTCACAACGCCTTACAACGTGGCGTTCAACAGCCCCGCGACCACCAAGAAGGATCTCCCCGCCCCAGGCGCAAGCAAGGATCTGATAGCTCAGATCGACGCTGCCAAGGAGGGCGATGATGAGATTGTGGGCGCTGACGGCCAATTGCTGACATGCAACAAGATCTGGTACGAGCCTTCTTCGCAAACCCCGGCGACCCCGGCGGCGGACGTGACTAACGAACCCCACAGGGAGAAACTGCAAAACTGCCCCAAGGTCCAGAACGGTGACTTCGACCTGGACGGCCTCTGCTCAGACCTGCAGAAGAAGGCCAAGTGCTCCGGCTCGGGAGCGGTGGTCAACGAGAAGGATTTCAAGAACGTGATGCAGAAGTACCTGGGCAAGACCGACAAGGAGATGGAGCAATGTACCGGCCCCAAGCTCACAGCATGATTCCCTCACCAAACGGGAGTATCACTGTACGCCACAGACTCTGTACAACAATCGTAACCGGGCGTGGACGGAACTGGACGCATCTTCAGGAGTCTTATCAGAAACCAACAAAGGCAGGCAGGCCGGCAGGCAGGCAGGGTTTGGCTGTTGGTTCATTGGTCATTTACACTGGACAAAGGAAATATGGAAGGAATACCAACGGGAAACGGGGGAGAATCCTTCCCGAGAGACGTCAGGGCGTTAAAGTATTGGTCTGAAGCAAAATTCGGAAGTTACGGTCGCGGCGTCTTCTCAGATGCCTATTTATCGGCTGGAACGAACAACAATCACACAGCTTTTATCATTGAAATCAAGTGGTAGTTATCGATGTTGATGTTGATGTACGCAGACGGCGAGAGGGACATCTCGGGATGATGGGTCTGTCGTTGACGAAGTATGGAATGAGAAGATTTGTGTGTCGTGTTGGTCAACTGATGACGCGTTTGCTGTTGAATAAGATACATCTCCATCTCTTGGGTTGAGCTTTCATGCGGTTTACGGTATGGATGAGTCAAGTAAAGGTAGTAAGTAGCTAGCTAGCTAGCTAGCTTCGTTGGCTGAAATGTCTCAAATGATGATTGATATCAAATCATGCTTTGTTGCTGGGCTCCTTGCTGCTGCTGCTGTTGTATTGAAGAGTCGAGATGAAGAGGTCAAAATATCAAGTCACTCCTCTCAATTCTCCACTTGGTCGTCCCCGTATTCAGAATCGTGATATGAATGTCCCACTTCCTGTATGATTTACAAGGTACAGCCACTCTCGTATTTCACTCTTGGCAAGTGGTCAAGGGGCATTTGAGCCATGGTCTCATGTTATCTAGTCTTGATTACACAACCAGCTAGATGCATTTCTCAGATGGGAACATCGTCCGTGATTTGATTCGATCTACCCAACCACATCCAACGTCACCGCCACGGAGGAAAAATATCTCCTTCCATGATGCTATTGTCTAGAACTCTCATTCATGCAAGCCTGACTGACTGACTGGCTGACTGGCTGACTGACTGGCTGGCCAGCCTGTTGTGCTCCTTCGTATCAGAAGCTTCCCTGTCTGTGCAAGCCCAATCCATCCTCCCAACCGCGAAGATCTCTCTGCTCCCCACGCGCAACGACGACGACGATGCACCAAGCCATGGCAGGACGGTATACACTATGTGCTTTGCTGCCAATATACAAGACAGAGCAAATCCGCAACACAATTGCAGGGAAAACTTAAAAACATACTGATGCATCGCCTATAGACGGACGTTATGAAAATAAAAAAACCAGAAAAAATGACAAAAACACACAAATAGGGGAGTGGTATCGATTTGCTGCTGCTGATGATGAATGACGATGATGAATGACCCTTGAGATGGTATGATGGGAGAGAGAAAGTAACCGAAACATGACGAGAGTGGTCGACCTTGTGATGATAGACATAATCATGTCTCCAAGGCAAAAACCCCGTACATGACGGTGCCTGTAAAAGTTGAGAGTCGGAAGTTCGTGTATTCTTTCTTCCGCGCTGCTCGCTTCATAGAAGCGGTGGGATTCGACCACCCGAGTATGATATTACTCGTTCATAATCAGCGTCCTCCATTTTAGAACGACTCAGAAAACCGCTGACTGATTGGTCTCGGCGCAGCTCTGTACTCTTCATCTTGGCCATATTAGCATACATCCCGGCGAGATGCATTTCTCGGAGGTGTTCAGCCTATAACGACTCTCGCGCCTTCTTTGCCAAGCACACCCCTTTCCTTCGGTTTCGGGCTGTTGCCTCTGCCCTTGCCCTTGCGAAGGAAACCAAACACACCTCCAGATGCGGCTTCTTTGCCAGCCTCGTTAATAGCTCCGCTAGCATCAGCAGGGAGCGTTGCGTCTTGACGTGCCAGGTCAGACCAGCTGCCACCGCCATCAAGCGTAACCTGCACTCCACCCGTAGGACTCTCCACGATGAGGCCCTTCGGACCACCACGGCCTGGCTTGCTGTTGGTGTACGAGGTGGGGTATGGGGGTAGCGGGGGAGGACGTCCAGGAGGTACGCGGCGGCCGTGGCTGCTGCTGGGACGACTCTTGTGGGATCTTGGACTGCCATCTTGGGACGGTCGAGAAGCATGCGTCTGTTGCATTGAGTCAGGCTGGAACACTGGTTGTATCACGGCTCCATTGGTTGTATGCGCCGTCGCTTGCGAAGCTGGCCGAGCGTCGTTTGTCGTGAGAGCTTGTGGTTGTTGCTCCTCGGGTAGGCCGTTTGTGTTGCACTCGACTACAACTGGTTGACCGTCCTGCCCGTCTTCTTGTTGCTGCGTGATCCTATTTCGTCCAATATTAGCATCGTTAATACAACCAATTTAGGCTCAAACTTGACACATACTTCTTATAGGCCGCAATTGTGTAGTCGAAGGGTCGGAAATCCGTCTCGATCATTCTGTATAGCTCATCTTCCCTGATCTCCTTGTCGGTAGCATCATCCTTCAATCGCTCTCTTGGCTTCTGTCTTCGAGCTCTGGCTTCCAATGGCGCCTCTTCAAGGAGGAGCTCCTCCAGGTCATATGTCGCATCGAAGTTGGTCTTCTCGGAAGAGGGCACAAATACGGGCTCGATTTGCTTCCTCTCTAGGGCCTCGAAATCAAGGACTGCGAAGAAATCGTGTCGCGTGAAGCTCTCCCATGTTGCGCCAAGTCGTTTATCGGGATTAGATTCTAAGGCGTCCCGGATCGCATACAAGCACAGTAATGAAACTGGAGGTGAGGTGATAGGGTATTTCGGATTTGCGGCCTGGATCATACTGCTGAGCGTTGACTCTGAGTTGCCTTCGAACGGCCGCTATTACACCGCGTTAGCTCTGTCAGTCATTGTGACCTGTCTCCCTGCCCCTTTTTCTGCACAGCAAATGCCTCGAAGCACAAAGCATTACACATCTTGACATGATTTGCCAATGTGTTAAACCCAAGGGAGTTACGACATAATGCCTACTAACCTTATTGTATATGCACTCGTAGAACAGCACACCAAGCGACCACCAATCGGCTCTCCAGTCATAGCCCTTGCCCGCATACACCTCGGGCGCAAGATAGGCGAGGGTTCCAGACTTGCTTGTGAGAATCTTTCCTGGAATAATATCGGACGCAACGTTCTGGCGCATCATTAGCTCTTGCTCGTGTATCCCACGGACTCCCCAACATACAAAATCAGTCAAATGGACATGTCCATCAGCATCCAACAGAACGTTATCGGGCTTGACATCACGGTGAATAATGCCCTGGCCATGGATGTACCGTAACGCGCAGCCCAGTTCCGCGATCCAGAATCGGACGGCATCTTCTGTGAAGGTCTTTCTTGATATATGAAAACGTAAATCGCCACCACTCATCAAGTCGACAACGAGATACCTGCAAGTCATACGTCAGATATGTGACGGAAGCTTAGAATTGGGCATGTGGCGAGGTCAGACATACATGTACTCGATGTCCTGAAAGCTGTACCGCAAGTTGCATATGAAGGGGTGATTCACATGCTCGAGCATTCGCCGCTCCCGTATAATATTCCGTACACTTTCCGACCGAACGACTGCAGGTGGGTACTTTGTTAGTCCATGGGGACACAGGGTCTTGAAATTGATTGTATTCCTCGACGTACCTTCATCTTTGCGAATATATTTTAGGGCGAAGGATAGCCCGGTATCTTTTCGTTCAACAATTCGAACCTTGCCAAAGGCTCCTCGACCGACGACTCGTAGGAGGCGGAAGTGATTCAGGTTCACTGCTTCGAGAACAAATCTATTAGCTTGGCTTGTCCACCTTCAAGCTCAAGGAGATCCCCAAGAGCTCCGCACGGGATAGCCCAGCTCCAGATAGAGAGAGAGAGAGAGAAAAGGGCAATTGGGTATAGCATGCATGGTGTGCGCACCTTCTCCGTCGAGATCGACGGGCTTGCCCTGGCTGTTACCCATTGGCGCGGAGGGTGCTGCTGAGGGTGTGTGTTGGCGTAATGCCTGCTCTGCAACCGCCAGCTCTTGTTTCTCTAGATGGAAACCGACGACGACAACGATGATTGTCGAGAAGTGGACATTCTATGCCTGGGGGGCTTATTCGAATGGTCAGTGAGTTGGCCGGCCGCCGAGATTCGCAGTGGGTCTCGGGAGGAAGCGTGGGCTCGAGGAAGTAATGGGGATCTGCAGTGGGCGAGGTCGATAGGCGAGGCGATGATGCTGGTCGAGCCACGAGGACGAGGGAGATTCGGGATTCGAGATTCGAGATTCGAGATTCGAGAATGACAATGAGCTCCGTTGCCTTTGCTTACTCGACTAGCTGATTGTAAGTTCGCAGCAAGAAACGAAGCTATGTGCGACCAGAGGAGAATCGTTGTGCGAGATGGACCTGAGGATAATCGTGTCGCCTATGTCGGATGCCGCAGAGAACGAGAGAGGCGGAAGGGGGTCAGATTGTCGTCACCCGGGGACAATCCTCCGTTGTATTGCAGTGCAGTGGGGGGCCGGCGGGTTCGAGATGAAACGGGGTGTTGATGGGATGTCGTGAGATGGGACGGCTAGCTAGCCTGATGCAACGTCGTGATAAAGATGCCGATGCTGCTGAATGCTGCTGTTTCCACTTCGGATGAGAAGAAAAGAAGCACAACTGGATGGGAATTAGTAGTTGTATAATCAGGGCAGCAAGAGACGGTGAAGAGCGAGAGAACTGAGTAAGGAGGAGATAAAGTAGCGTAGCGTAGAGTAGAGTAGAGAAGAGTAGAATGAAAGAAAGCGGCCTGTGCTCGTGGTGCTGGACCTGGATGAATGGATCCTGGCCTTGGGATTGGATTGCCCCGGGACATTGGAGGTGGTGCCCTGGAGGTGGTCGATGAAAGGGGAATTACCTGAATTACAGGCCTGTTTGGGCTTAGCAGGCTTGGAAACAAAGTTGGTTAAGGGGAAGCTAGTCACAAGCCCAGGCCCCGGTATACTATGCAGTAGGTAGAATATCATAGGGTAATAAGGAAGGAACAAAGATAAAAATGATTATTCTTCACTGCGGGAAGGGGCGACTCTGGTAATAAGCTACCTAAGCTAGGTAGGTACTTACGATACTCAGAGAGGCACCTCCTATGCATGGGTATGCAGTACTGCAGATTGCTTGACTAGAGGAAAAGACATGGCAATTGGAAGGAAGGAGCGAGCGGTCTGTGGTGTGTTTTAATGGTAACGTTAGGTGGTGTGGCACCCGTAGCACGTGGAAATGTGTGCTTTCTGCAGGTGTGGTGCAGCCCACTACCTACTGCGGACCTAGCACTCTCCATAAGTTAGTGAATCACAGCGTGTTTTCCCTGCTAGACTACCTCCTACCTAGACTCGCTGCCACCGCAGTCCAGTGGCGTGGCGTGGCGGCATGCTGCGTGGGAATGGGATGGCTTCCACGCTTTTCCAGCATGCGGGAGCAGGGATCTGATTGCTGCTTAATTGGGTCCCCGATTCAGGTTTCTGGTTCTCAGACACCGACAAGACAGGCGACTCGCATTAGCGGGGCATGGCCATGGGCAACCGCCGTGGGCCTGTAGGAAACAGTCCGACCTGACGAGCTGACCTAGCAAGTACCTAAGGTACCTATGGCATTCTTCCAGACCCCTTTTTTGGGTACGAGAAGAGTTGCACACGTATCCTGTCATTTCTCTGATTTTTTTATATAATTTTATATAATTTTTAATTAGATTCTTTGTTCAAGAATGGAGTAAGGAGTATAGTGAGGCAAGTATAGCATCGCTTGAAGCAGCTAACACGACTCGCATGACATGTGGCCATCCATGCCTTCTGAGGCGCGTGTTTGACAACACTCCAAGCCCCATCGCCTAGCGTCAGGAGAATGATATGATAGAAGTAAGTAGGTAGGTAGGTAGGTATGACATGGGGCTGGGTATGCATGCCGTCGTTGCATTTGCTGGTGTTAGGCAATCGCGGCAATTGCATGTACCGGCAGTGATAAGCTACTAGGGCTACCTATCTACAGTATTTCTTTCCAACATCTAGGCCAGCATGTGTGCTTTGACTTCTCTTCTAGTCGCCTGTGGTTGTCGTCACATCACATTCTACGAGTATCTATCGCAAGGATCTCTAAGCGAGCGAAAGGCAAGAAGGAGTGCAGTGCCACGGTGCCACGGTGCTACGGTGCTACGGTAGGGCTCCTGATTAGCACCGGCACTCATAACCCTTACCGGATTGTACCGAATAGGCGGGCGGGCGTCAATTAGTCAGTCAGTCAGTCAATCGAAGTCAAGCAGCATGTGAGCATGTACATAGTAAGAAAATAGATAGCCATACCAGCCATACCATACTATACAAGCATGCTATATCAGCAGTTGCCAACAGGCAAAGAAGACGAACCTCGGTCAAGAGGAACCTGGAAACCCACAATCTGTCAGTCAGGAATGCCCCATTCGTCATTCCCGCGTCTTGCTCGCCGGGATGGCCTGGCGAAGTTGGCATCGGTGGCTTTTTCGAGAAAAGGGCGCTCCGAAGAGCCGGTGGCTGTTAGCAGAAGACGGCGTCCGCCTTAGACAGAGAATCTCGTAGCGCTAGCGAATCTTGTCGATGGTGTACCCGAGACCCTGGGTCCAATGGTCCAATGGTCCAATGTTCCCGAAATTCCTGGGTGGGAATATTTGTGGAAGTGAAGTGCTGTCAAGAGCCAGGTTAAGCCTCACCGCTCTTCAATCAGGGAGCAGATTTTCGCCCTGATCACCCATCGGGTGTGGTGTAGTGGTAACATCCATGACTCTCATTCTCTCGCTGGAAAGAGAGGTTCTCATGAGCCCGGGGTTCAATTCCCCGCATCCGAGTTGCTTTTTGCTTAGATAGGGCTGTTTACTTTTGGCGTTTCTTTTTGTAAGCAGATCTCAAGATTGCTATAGTCGAAATAGTCAAGTAGTGTTAGATCATGTGGTATCATATCATTCCCGATTCATTGTCGAGAATGGAAATGATGAGAATATTGGTTTTTTTTTTTGTTGGTGGTGGAGCATTTCTCGCCTCTCTACTGTAAGTAAGCTACCTAGGTACCGAGACTAATCCTTGCTTTCCCACGTGCGCAGTGCGACAGGTGCCGAAACAACAGACGGGACGGTGGACGGTGGACGGTGGACGGTGGACGGTAAAGAATCCAGCGGCTGTCCCAGACAAATGGGAGCGAGACTGCAGGTGCATGGCAGATGAGGTGAGGTGAGATGGATGAGACTTGCCTGCACCTGCATGTTTGCTACTCTGCAGTACGTTAGGCCGTCATTCTTGCAGTAGCCAGCGAGCCAGCCAAACTACCTTTCCTCGTTCTAGCTCTATCCTCTCTCGAGCCTCTCATGCACGTACGTACTGGTACTGCACAGCTTCGCATCCGAGCCATCCAGCCAGCCATCTAGAATCAAACTACTACTACGACGACGACAACAACAACACACACACATCATGCACACCATCCGCCATGCATTTCAGACAGCGAGCATCCCCCACACCTGACTGGCCCAGCATCGCCCGGGACCGCCCAGCTCGCATCATCTCGCCTCCCTCCACGCCGTTGTAACAAGCAAAGACATGCAGCACCATCCCCGCTGCTTGACCTGACAGGCTGCAGGCATCTATCAAAAGATCGCCCATCCCGAGCATCCCTTGCCGACTGACCGGCCCTCTCGGCCCTCTCACCTTCCTCCTTTGCCTTCAGCTCCCCTTCTCGTCCCTCTTCTCCTGAAAAGCCACGCCCCAGCTCGTCAGAAGCTATGCACAAGAGGGGAAAAGGAGGACCCAGCTTAGGAGACGATCATATCCAGTCAATCCAGTAAACCGCCTCGCCACCCGATGGAGTGCCTTATCTGAGATCGATCTACGCCGGCTCTTTTGTCCTTTCTAGGGGCATTCGGTTGCTAAAGAAGCCGTCGCCTCTGACGAGGGTTGACAGCTGTCCTGTCGGGATGGAAATCTTCCTTCGACCTTCTATTCCGCTGTTCATTCCTTTTTCTTTGATCGGTAGCAGGCTGATCTCGCCCTAAGAACGCCAACGAGAATCCGAGAGTGCCCCTCGCTTTCGACAAAGACGGGCCCGCCGTCTCTGCCGTCTCTGAGGTCTCCTCCAATCCCCGGCCTACCTCCCTGCCGCTTCTCAAAACGCCTCTTCGTGCGTATCTTTATTACTTGTGCATGGCGTTCGGGGACTCTACAGGTCGATTCTGTGCTTTGGAACCTGTCATAACCTTCCCGTACTTCCTTTCCTTTTCTCCAGCCTCCTATCAAGCCTCCTGTTCCACCGCCTTTCCGCCCACATGTCCACCTCGCACACGTGCAAGGAACAACATGCCCTTGTCCTGACGCTGTGCCACCTACCCTAGGTAGCTTGCTCAGCCGGGTAATCAATATCGACATCTCGAAATGATAGGTAAGCGAAGGCAGGGAGCCCGGCAGGGCATGGCCATTCCGTGACAAAGGCCGGTCATGAGAGCAAGCAAACAAGCAAATCTCCCCCCTTCTCGTGATGACCCAAAGCCTCGTGGGCAACCCGCCAAATCCGGACGAACAGCCGTAGATCTGATCCAGACTCTTCCTCATGCCCCGCTCCTACCCCTTAAAGGTGAGGAGGCGCGCCCAGGTGAAAGAGAGACAGCAGCCCAATCCAATCCAATCGCCCCCTTAATTCGACCCCGCGATGCAACGAGGCGGCGTGGTTTCGCAGGCCTGCACCGCACTTGCACCGCACTACACTGCACGGCTTGGCCCCCCTGCTGCTGCAGGGAAACATTCAAGCCCCTGTCCTCCTTTTTGTTACTACTGTACTTTACGGGAATACAAACATGGAAATTGGTTTGCCAGACATCTGCCAATCTGTCAAGCCAAACATTCTCGCGAGGGCAAGTCCTTTCGACGACTGTTGAAATTACTTGATATATAACTGCTTGTTTGCCCTCTTGACTTGCGATCCAGGCAATACGCCAGCATCCAAGACGCAAATTCAGCAACTACCTAGGTGCGCAATCATGAAGGACTAATTGGAATCAACTCTACTTCTCTGCGTCTCAACAGCACCGACCGCCATGCTCCCAAGATCAGCGCCCCGGCTTGCCCCTTCGACAGTAGCAGATATAGCCTCCAGCGCTCAGATATGACTAATGTCCCACCGCACGCAACCGCACCTACTGTATTGGCCTTGTGGCCATCCAGCAAAACGAGCCAACCCCGTGGGATGATTCATGCCGGCTGCCGTGCCGCCTCGGAGGTTTTCCCAGATAGCTGGGAATGCCCGCATGGCCGCTCGCGATGTCCCCTGCAGAAGAATCCCGCCACTGGCCACTCTCCTCCCCCTTTCCCTTATCAGTGAAGTCATTGCCTGGGCGCAGTATCGCGGCGGACAGGGGCTTGCGTAAGCACTTTGTGCTGCTATCAAAAGTGTCTGGCAACGGGCAAAAGACTGGAATGAGTTCGCGAAGCTTTCTTCTCGTCCCTTGTCAGACTTAGTCTTCTATCGTCTGTATCAAGGAGGCAAGTAGAAAAATAGTAATTATGTGACAGTATTATCATAGACATTATTCTTCTATTCATGAATTGATATTGACATGAGGAGCCAGTCCTTGCAAGTGAGGCTAGCTGTTCAATGTCTCTCTTCAACATGGCATCTTATCGGGCAGACCATGTGCCCTGCGCCAGATTATACAATTACTCGTAGAGCTGTTGGTACAGATATCAACACACATATATGGACCACACGACCTTGAAGCCAGCCGACGTAATTTCAATACTCCGCGCCCATCCAATCCAGCACGCGGCATACCAGCCGCAGGGCCACCAGTCCCGCTCGCAGAGCGACACCGACGACCCTTTCCACAACAAATGCAATGATCCACAGCGCAGTAAAGCTTGCTTCAAGAGTGCGTCCCACGAATCGAGCTAGTCAATGCCCACCGCCCGTGGCGAGCAGCAGCCGCCGGTTCTTCTTGATGACCTGGTTGAGGCTCTTCTCGAGCTTCTCCGTCTCCTTGCGCGCCAGCGCCAGCGCCTGCTCGATGTCCTCGAGGCTCATGGCGGGGATGTTGGCCAGCGGCCCACCGTTGCCACCGGCCCCCTGAGCCGGTAGCACCTTGCCTGGATCACCCGTGGCCAGGGAGTTCGCGCCCGACATGGCAGAGAAGTCGAAGTCATCTGGGATGGCCAGCTTAGCGCTTCCTGGAACATGCCCGGCAATCTCTGCGGCGACAGCAGTCGCACCAGCAACGCCGTTCGCAGCGAAACTCATGATGATCGGGGCAATGGAGTTCAAGGCGGATGTAGTTAGTGAAGCTGCGCCCTTGGCGTTGCCGCCGTTCGGGTAGGCCAGGTTCGCGGTGCCGAGGTTCAGACGCGGCAGCACAGATTGGTTTATGTAGTTCAGTGCCGCATCGCGTGTCATTTTAGTGACTGGGTCCGTTGGAAGCGCCTTGCTCTGCGGGAAGTAGCTCGGCGGGCCGTTGGGTACGGCACGGCCCTTGATAACACTGAAACCCTGACCGGCTTCATGGCGTGAGTGCACAAAGGTTGCAGGGTCTGTAGCAGCGGCAGCTATGAGTTCCTGCAGCTCCATATAACGTTCCTCCTCTTCGGGCGTGAGATTACGCACGCAATTCCCATACGGACTAAGCATGACTCGAGCGCCGTCGACTAGCTTACGGACAGGCTTGCCAGCATTGAGAGAAGCTTCCTCCTCTGAAGTCACGAAGCACTTAATTTCCGTCACGCCATCCTTGGGCGGGATAGGATTATACTGGTCATGACGATGGGAAGAACCTGCGATAGGCTTCAACAGCCCCATTTTCTCCGGATCGGGGAGCTGGCCATCTTTGATGAGCGTCTGTAGAATAGATAGAGGTGTTGGCGTCAATTTGTCAGAGCTGCTGGTCTTTGGTTCCTCCACCGAGGGACTAGTTCCTGCCTTCGACACTTCTTTGACGTTACTCTTTGTGTCCGTAGCAGCTTTGCCAGCTTTATTCTTGGGCGGTGCTGACTCCTCAAGTGACATGGACTCATTGACAGCCTGGCGATAGGTAGAAGTCTCCTCCTTTACTGGCGGAGGCGGTTGTTGCGTTACTGGAGTGGCTGGGCGGCTCTCAATCGGAGTTGCAGTCGAGCTGCTCGTTTTCTCCTTTTTCTGCTTCTTTTTGCGGCCCAGTATTGGTGCAATCTCCACCTCTGGTTCGGGCTTTGGCTGTACCGCAATTGCTGCAGTTTCTTTCTTTAGAGCCTCTTTTCTCTGTTTCCTTTGTTGACTCTTTGTCGTGTTCCGGACGGCGGCAGACCCTACTTTAGATGGAGGAGGAGAACTCGTTCGTGATGCGGAAATTGAAGCCGAGGCTATAGAGACGCTATCAGAGATGATCTCGCTCACTGGAGTCTCAGGCCTATGAATCGTCGCAATAGACGACCGAACAGATTGTGTTGAACCCCCTGCCACGGCGAGAACTGGTGGAATCTCTGTCTTCGGCGTTGGCACTACCCTCAAAGTCTTTGGTGCAGCGCGTGCGATGGGAGACGATACCGAAGCAGTAGTCGGGGTGGGCAGGGCCGGGAAGACGTGATCATCAGTCTTCTGAGATACGGACGGCGAACTGGGTTCCTTGTGTTCGGCAGTCTTGGTGGCGGCAGCAATATTGAGTACGCCCGGGACTGGACGCTTCTCCGTTCTTTCCTTCCGCGGTGTTACTATTTCCAAAGGTGCAGGCACCGGCGCAATTGGCTCAGGGGCAGACTTCTTGTTTACAGTAGGTGTCTTGCTGGTTGATGCTTTGGATGCTACCGCTGGCGTCGAAACCTGCGAGGGAGTCGGTTTGATGGAGTCCGTCTTGGCAGTGTTCAGGGCTGGAAAGTCTTCGTCCTGTAAGACCTTCTTGCCTTTGATTGATTTAGCTTGCGTCGCAATGTCTTTCGAAAGACCACTCTCTTGAGCGAGGGCTTTGATGTTCTTCTTTGCATCCGAGCCAGGAAATGTTGCAACCTTTTGTTTAGGTTTCTCTGGCGTTGTCATGGACGCAGGCTTTAATGGTATTACAGGGGCAGGAACATTAGGCGGTACCTGTCGGCTAGAGCTTGGGACCGCAATTGGTTGTTGAGGTGTGCTCGGCGTTGGTTGGCGTTGAGGAAGACCGAGGCCTGGTGGAATCGCCGGTGTAATTGGCATGCCAAATCTACTGATATCGCTTGCGGGAGTGAGCGATCGAAAGTCGGTTGGCTCATCAGAAACAAGTGCGTCTACGATCGTAGTGGCTTCATGGAGAGATAGCAAATCGTCATCTACTACGCTTGTTAGCAATACTGCTTACCACGGCCAATAGAACGTTCGGTGTAAAGTGTCTGGGAAGAGAGGGACGCTGAGGAAGAGTACAGAATGCGCGCAAAGACAAGAAGCCGAAGGGGCCATTATATACAGAGTGGGCTATAGGTCACGTCACGCTCCCATCTCGTCTTCCCGTAGGAAGCTATTATACGGATGGCACAGGATGGTGAAAGGTGAAGGTTGCTATATTTGTCCAGCAATCCCACCCAGTCCGATGTGTCCGGAATCTGGGCGTGTAAGTTAACGTACAAAGATAACCTTGCGGAAGACGAGATGGCTTGCCTGACGTGACCGTATGCCCAAAGCATGCAAATGTTGAAGTGCCAAGAATGTGTGGTACCAAGGGGTGTCTCAGAGACTCTCCCTCATTTTCCAGAGAAAATAATAGACGCCCAATGCAACACCGGCCCATCCCGCCGGGATGTGTGATCATGCTCGCTAAGACAATGCGCAAAAGAAATCCTAACCCCCTATGAAGCAACTCTTTGCTAATCACAAGCCATCATAACGCCTTCATAATACATAGTGGGAAAAATCAAGCCAGCAACGCAAACCAATGGAAGCGCTATGTGAATGTGTAGGAGGCCTACCAGCCTCTATATCCCGCGGCATTGTACATCATGCTGGGGTTGTACCCACCTGAAGACTGACCACCAAACAGTCCCTGGCCGACCCCGGCATTGCTCTGCTGTTGATGCTGCATTCTAGCCTGCAGGATACTCGGGTCCGCAAGATCTACTAGGCCACTCCCCCCAGAGGAGGAAGTGTTAGCTTGCCTGTGCTTCTTCCCCTTCTTCTTCTGCTTGGATCCGAAATCTTGGAATGCTCCGGGCTGAGAACCGTAGAGCGATGCCAGGAGGCCGGCAGAAGGAGCTGGGGTGGAGGAGGTGGAGGGTGGGTACTGATTAGAAAAAGTAGAAAATTGGTACTCACGCTTTCCTGCATCATGAGCCTGGCTGCCCACTCCGCCTCGGCCGCGGATGAGGCTCTGAAGAAGTTCGTTGGAATCCTTCGGTGTCGCGCCGAAACCTGAGCCACCAAATTGGCCCTGGCCAAACATGTTTGGAGGTGTGCCGGTTGACTTCAAACCTGGGGGAGGCCCTGGCATGGACGTGCCATAGTATTGGCCACCAGGCTGAGAATGAAATGCAGAAGGCATCATAGAAGACTGTTGTGCCATAATACGGGGATTCGCTGATAGCTTGACAGATGTAGAGGAGGTCGAAGAGTTCTCGTTCGCAAAACTGAATCGAGAAGCCTGGCGGCTGTGTCCTTGTCCCTGAAACAAAGACGACTGAGCCGAGCTAATCCCTGGGGGCATGTTTTCAACAAATCCACCCTGAGGTCGGATGAAGCCTTGCTGTTGAGGAGTCATCGTGCGCCCGGATCCAGAACCAAGGTTCTGCGCAGCTTGGGGGTAGGTTGTCCCAATGGCAGGGCCGAAGAGAGCATCTGCATTTGTTCGCTGGATAGGTGGCTGAGCGCTCGGCCGGCGTTGGTCAAAGCCGTGACTATCACGACCCTGTTCGCGATCTTCCGGCTCTCCTCCCAGTGCCAAACTTCCACTGCTCTCTGGTTCGCCTTCTGATGGTGCCAATGCATCGATTTGCTCCTCGTGCTCGCCACTCAGTCGTGCCTCCTCCTCCTCTCGCATTGCCCTTCGCTTCTCACCACCTCGAACATCAAATAGTGGCGGGCAATCGTCGAGCGATTCAGAGGTAATCGCCGAAAAGGAAATGGTACAAGAAGCCATCGACTTGAGCAGTTGAGATAGGAGAATATCCCTGGGATCGCGCGTTGGCTTTGCCGACTCGACAGGCGCAACAGCGGTAGTTGGTTCCGGTGTTGTCTTCGTTTCAGGCTGGACTGGTGCCGCGACTTCCTCGGCTGGTGCAGATTCAATCGCCTCCTCGTTGGCTTCTGTGGTGACAGGCAAAGACATTGAAACAGCTGGACTGGCTGCCGTGCCACTAGTGGCATGACTGCCTCGTCGACTTCGCTGCTGTGTGCTGCGAGCCCAGTTGGCTGACGAAGGAAGCGCAGATGCATCGCCGTTCTCAGAATCATCCTTGCTGGAAGAACGGACCATAGGCTGAGAAGCGATCGGATTAGGCTGCACGGATCCTTGTTGTCGCGAAGCCGAGCGAGACGGACCGGGGTTCGATGTTGGACGCTGACTGTTGATGCTGTTGAGAGAGGAAAGATCTTGTCTGGTGTAGCTATCTTCCTCGTCGCCCAGCTCATGAAGGAACATGCACTGCCGATTCGTGCACTGTTCGTGCCGCAACCAAGCAGAACAGTACTTCGTCGTGCCGAGCTGAGCTTTGAGAACCCTATCGCCATTTTGTGAACCGTTAACAGCTTGAATACAGCGTGCCGCATCCTCCTTCTTCTCGAACGTCACATAGATGCCGAGAGATTGATGTTGGCCGTCGGACGTTTTACGGTTGCTGATAGAGATCTTCTGGATGTTACCGTATTGCCCGAAGAACTGCGGCTGTCGTAGGGTCTTCAAGAGCTCATCTTCCCGAACCGTAGGCGTAAGGCCAGTGACGTATACCAGATTCTTCTGCACTACTCGAATGCCGACGAGGTTCTTGCGACTCTCCTTCTCGGTGTCTCGCTTCTGAGTCTCTTTTTGCCCTTGTACCTCGGCTCGCTTTTTTCGATTTTTTTGTACGTTGGCCTTGTATTCAGCAACCCTATCCCTCGTTAGTCTCTTACCCAACCCCATGCAATGAGGTGGAAAAGCTTACTCTTCGGCAGTAACCATCTTCCATTGTATTGTCTTCTCATCGTATGGTCTTCGGCAAGCAGGACACAGACCATTCATGTTATTCCTGATGTTGTTGAAGCAGAACTGGCACACCTAAGAGAGAAGAGAGTTAGCTGGAAGTAATCGAGGATCGTAGCCATTGCTTTCATACCTGGTATCCGCATGGACACGGTCGGAAGTTCCGATCTGAAAGGTCGAACTCTTCTATGCATAGCGGGCTGAGACTTGTTAGCATCTCGACGCGTAAACTCGCCTTAGATGTGACGCGAAGGTCAGGATAGTGTGGATGGGTCGACATACCAGGTGTCGTCCTCTTCTTCAAAAAAGGTATCTTGTGGAGCCATAACTGAGGCTGATGGAAGTAGTCGCTCTGGGAAGGGGTGGCCAGATGGTTCAAGTCGGGTTTGTCTGAGTTGAGGGATAGATGATGATTGCTAAGGTGGCAATCGAGATGGTGCCCGAACGAGGTAATATTAGGGTCCGCCGGGAAACGCAGCAGGTCGTCCAAGGAAAAGAAAAGAAAAAGCCGAGAGGAAGACCTCAGAACGCCCTGAAATAAATACAAAGCACAGAGGTGATGATCCAAACCCGTGGGCGGTGGACAAGTGGAAAAGAATCGTTGGGGAACGTGCTAGTGATGGTGACGATGGGATGGTGGTAAAGGAAAGAACAGGAGGTTCGAGAAAGCAGAGCAGAGCCTTCTCGAGAGATGCTGCTACAGCACGCTAGCCTCCTTATGGAAAGGTGGCCCCAGTGGTCGGTAGGACTTGCACGTGTCTGCTGGCGGTTGGTGACTCGCATCACGATGCAGCTGCTCGCCGGCGTCTACGAGCTTTGCAACAGACAGATTATGGTTTCTGTCAGGCGTGAATCTCATATGCGACCTCTTCATGTCAAATCGACATCCGAAGTTGTCTGGTGGCCCTACGGACGACTGGCCCGGACTTGAGAGAAAGCTGAATCACGTGACTATACTGATGACCCGTTCGGGCACCCAATGAGCTAGCAGCTATTTGCGACTTTAATCATTGGATCCCCGGCATTGTCCACCCGAAGAACGCAGTTTGAACATCGAGTTGCAGCTACAAAGCCTGGGAGTTCCGGCATCAATTGGCCTTCCAGCCTTACCATACCAGCAATGGCGACCAAATTGTGCAGGAGCCGAGCTTTGGCTACGGCTCTGAGGCCAGCCAAGCCCTCCATGCAGACTCGGAACGAAGCTGCTGCGCGATGCTTTTCCGTCACAACCCGGCAGAACGTAGCCCTTCCCAAGGAGGCTCAGAACATGCGAAAGGCACCTCGGCCGGAGCAAGGCACCCTGAAAGCTCCCCTGATCAATCCGGCAGACAAATACCAGGCCAAGGCCGACGATATGCATCGTTACGGCTCGTGGCTCATGGGCTGCCTACCGAAGTACATCCAGCAGTTCTCCGTCTGGAAGGACGAATTGACAATCTATATCTGCCCATCTGGCGTCATCCCAGTATTCACCTTCTTGAAGTGTGAGTTCTTCGCCTAAACAGCTCTTTCAACCAGTCTTTAATGCTCACCTTATTAGACAACACCGCGGCCGAGTTCACCCAAGTCAGCGATATTACAGCTGTCGATTTCCCCACCCGAGACCAGCGATTTGAGGTCGTGTATAACCTGCTGAGTGTCCGACACAACTCTAGAATTAGAGTCAAGACCTACGCCGACGAGGCATCTCCTGTTCCAAGCATTACTGGCCTCTTTGATGGCGCGAATTGGTACGAGCGGGAGGCCTACGATCTGTTTGGTGTGTTCTTTGTCGGCCACCCCGATCTTCGCCGTATCATGACCGATTACGGCTTTGAGGGCCATCCGCTACGAAAAGATTTCCCCTTGACGGGATACACGGAGATTCGATACGACGAGGAGAAGAAGCGCATTGTCACTGAGCCATTGGAACTGACGCAGGCTTTCAGAAACTTCGAGGGAGGATCAAGCGCATGGGAACAGGTTGGACCCGGTCTCGACAGAAAGCCAGATACCTTCAAGCTGCCGACACCCAAGCCAGAGGAGAAGAAGGAAGAACCAAAGAAATAGAAATTGCCACGGTATCTTGTAGAGATGTATATATCATGTGTCAACTATTCAAACGCGTGCTCAATCTAAGAAGATGCACTGTTCCATGATTAACCGGTTCCAGCGCGTGAAGCTTGTGTCTAACCACGTGTGAAGCCGCATGTTGCTTGGCCAAGATATAAAACACAAGTTGACAATTGAATATTGCTAACCCGGAACTTAAACCCGGGGATCAGACAGCATTGCACCCTGAATAGCGTGTGATTCGCGTTAAAAGCTGGGAGACGTTTAATCGTTTAGAGAATCCCGAGATACAAAAAAAAATCTGAAAGTGTCGGGTTATGTGGAAACCCAAACTTAGTTATGGTGGTCGACTTCCTACAACAAATATAGATAGAGTTCACCATCAATGCCATGGATCTGAAATTATGGTTCAACGGGCACGGTAGTCAAGTGACTCAAGTGCTTCAAATACTTGCTCCGATATGACTCTTCAATCGTTCTGACCGGGGCTATAGGAGATAGGTCAAAATGCTTAAGTATAAGAGTCGCCGTCATGCGTTCCCCAGATGTTGTGTCTTCCCCTCTCTCTCAACATCAAACCAACATTGACCATTACCTACAGTCTGGTATTGACTTCACACCGCGGCCTGCAGTTTCCGAGAATCTCGATCTCTAGAACTCACGAACACTACGCAAATATTTGTCAGAAACCACTGTTTAGATTGACATCATCGACAGCTGTGCTCAGCCTTAACCATGTATGCCATCGGCAACGCTACAAGCAATTTCACTTGCGATTCCCCGGCATTGAAGCACATCACAACTCTTGAACAGCAATACACATCCCTAAGAGATCCATTGCTAAGCTACGAAGATGACATCGATTTTCACGATGCGATCCGGGCGCTTGCCAGAGTCAACCCATGGACCGCCAGCCCCAAGATTACTGACTCAAGAACACGTTCGGTCAAGAGAAAAAGACTCTTGTCTCACATTCGCGTCAAGTTTACGCAAAAGATTTAGCACTCTATTAGTCGCTCTATGACCTATTGAGCTATGGCAACCCAATATACGTCGCGAGATGGCGTTCACTGGGCAGAATTACAATGCCTATGTTGTCCACGAAGATTACAGAGTAAAATGCTACCCGAATCTTACCCTTACCCATTTACTTCTTTATGAGTGGGCCGGTGCTGCTGCTGCTTGAACCTATGTAGTGGGTGTGTAGTGGGTGCGCTTGGTGTGTTGACTGTGGCGCTATTTGGGAGCCTCAATCTGCCACTCTGGTTTAAGTTATCATAATACCAAAAATAGAATCAAGCACTATGTCATGTAGCAGGCGCACGATCATTGGGGCCACAGTGTATGTATTGTGCGTGTCTGACTAGAGGCAATGATCGGGTAGACTTCTGTGACAGCTTATGTTGGTGGCCGGCCTAGGAAATAGGATCACCATAACATCGACGGCACTTGAGGGGCAGATGCAAGCAAGCGCCCATGCCACACAGCTCACGGTAAAATGAAGGCATAGACATTGCGAGAGAAGTGTAACACGATACTCAAGACTGTGGATCAGTGACGTTGGTGCAGGTCACTATAAGCAAGCGTCTAGTAAGAAATCTTTCGCGCTGCAAGCCTCTATATCATCGTCACCCTCACTGACAAGTCAGAATTGTCTTGGGCGATTGCCTGATAGCTCGCATAACGCAGGCTAAATGGAAAATAAATAAGTGGCGAGACTTGAATATATTTCATAGCTCCAGGGAGGCTTAATTCTACATATACTTTAATGAGGTCTTACTATGAATTTCTATTGGTTATCCACCGACAGGACCCTAGCCCTCATTTTCTTCAAGCCTTGCATGTCTCCCCGTTTGGTCTCCTGCCATTCTGGTTCGATGTACTGGGTGGTATATCCGCCGCCGAAATCAACAACAACAGCATTCCCATCTGGATTGATGATGACATTGTCAGGCTTCACGTCGCCCCAGACTATGCCGTGTGCGTGTAGCCTTTGAACCGTGTCCTCAACCTGGCTTATCCACTTCTGCTTGTCGATTATCGAGGCATCCCCATACATTTCCTCGTGGAGTGTTGGCCCGTCGATCAGCTCCATCAATATTCCCAAGATGACATCTTCGCCATCATACTTTACCAAGCCGACGATCTTCGTTGTTCGTACGCTAGGGTCCTTGTTGGCGATGTTTCGAATTTTAGTCAGCACATTCAGCTCCCGTCGAAAGCCGTGGAGCTCAGACGCGGCCTTAAAGAAGTACTTCTGGTCGGTTCCTAACCTCCGCACAGTCCTAGGCGCTTCACACATCTCTTCCTCAATCGAATCAGGACCAGCGTCCCTCACGATCTGCGATGCTTCAAAGAGTGGCAATAGGGGGAGATCTGTTCGTAGAATGATGTTCTGTTTGCTTCTCTCATGGTATAGGCTATTTCTGTCCTCTGAAGGCTCAGGAGTGACGTCGCTGATCACAAATCGTGAGCTCGGGTTACCATAGACAGCTGGATCGTATGGTCGTGGCAACCCCATGAGAGAGCCGCCGACGTTTGCCATCTCAAAAACAAACGTCTCCGCGCCGTAATAGTCCTGAAGCGATGTTGGTTTCCAGTACTGCGACGGGGTTGGGACGAGGGCGTTGATGTTGTCGTTGATAGCATCGACGACCCACGTCTCGAAGTCGCTCAGTACGTCGGGATCGTCGAGGTTGTCTTTAAAATCGTAGAACTGGCCAACAAGACCGCCCTCGCCCTCTAAATCCTTGACCGACATAGACAAAATGAAGCGCTTGTTCTGACACATGAATGTGTAAGTCAAGTCCTCGTCATACACACCCAAATCCAGCATAGAGAAGGAATAGGCTGATGGGGCTACAGCTGCCTGAGCTTCAGTTGCCATGATGCAGTTCACTTTTGTGGTTGTTCAGATGCAGACTGTGCGCGTGAAATCCAACTGACTGGGAGGCCGAGAACAGGATCGTGTAGAAGTGCAACCTACAGAAACAAAGAGAGATGCTGAAGGAGTAAGAAAGAAAATGTCACAGAGAAGGCCTCGAGATCGACTGGCCTCCAGATGACAAAGATCCACCCAGCGCTGAAAAGCAAGGGAAAGCAAACACAGAGTCTCTGCAGCAGGATACCTTATACGAGAAATATCAGTCTAAGAATATCATCCTTACGAAGAGTTGATAGTTACGTTATTAAGCCACTCTCAGCTCCAGGAGCCGACTTGACTAAACCATGTTCATAGAGCATCCGGTGCCAGCCTGTGCCCGCCCTCATTAGCGCCGGTTTAGCACCTGTTAAGCCGGGGGGNNGGGGGGGGGGGGGGGGGGGCGCGCGGGAGCTTCCGGCTTTTGGAGGGTAAATTTCGGGGAGCATTACAGTCGATACATCCGGCGTCAAACCAAAAGTGCATCATCAATGGCAAATAATGCTGGGAAATTTATATTCCAAAGCGCAATGTGGAGTCCATGGGACTAGCACGATATGAGAATGTCTAACGGCAAGGTACTGCACGGAAGGAGTACATAGCAAGGAGTACAGAGCAAAGGCAATCGCAGTCTTGGACTGCAAGTCATGCTATTGGGTTGACCTTATCTCTATTAGAATAACAAATCAGCTTTCTAAAATGCAAATTTGGGATTCTGATCTAATTAACCTGCTTAAATCTCCAGATCCATGCTGCGCTTCCGTACATATTTTTTCCCTTGAACTGAGTGGAAAAATGCAACCAGGATAAGAATTCCTTTATCTACTCCAGTTAACAAATCCCGACCATTGCTTTACTCTTGCGGACTCAAAGATACAATTGACTTGATCGCATCTACCTTCTTGTTAGAAAACTCGTCCACGGTTCAGGATGTGTTATTGAGGACAACGATCCTCACACATACACGTGATCGTTGGGGGCTGTGTAGTTTGTATATCAGCTGAGCCTTGTATACCCCTCAAGCAATTTGCATCATCTCACCCGTCGTTGCCTATGAGAACTGCATGTTCATCCAGCTGCTGGGCGTTATAGGCGTACAATTTCTTCATACATGGAGGTGCTCGGAGCAGTCGCCTCTGTCGCCGGGCTCATTAGCCTGGCTATGGAGATCCCGAAAATCATTGACGCCGCTGCTTCTATTCGATCAGCTCCAGAGGAGGCTAAGCAACTCTCAAACATAGTGGGTGCACTGGTGATAACATTGCAAAAGCTTGAATCATTTTTGAAGACCGATGAGGCCATGGAAATGAATCCAGCGAACGACAGTGCTTTGAACATGTCAATCTCAGCCTGTCAGACTCGAATTTTAAACCTATCTAAAAGACTGCGATCCCGGTCTTCTCCGTCGTCCGAATCTTGCAACGACTTCGCTTCGAAGAAAGTAAAGGCTACAATATCTAATTTCCGATGGCCATACGATAAGAAGGAATGTCTGGAAATCATTTCAGAAATTCATGCTATGCAAAGCACGTTTGAGTTCTGCTTAGTGATGGAAAATTGGTCGGTATTTACTCTTTCGACTATTTGATTTGAGAAACCATTCTAATTTCGGCGTGTCTGTATCTCACCTTTAGCCAACAAATGGCAAATCCCATAAAAGAAGTTATCTCTCATTTCAAGACGCAGAGCGAAACGCTAGCTCAGATGGCAGCTGCTTTTCCCGACCAGGCTGCGCACGTGAAGAATATGCTTGAAAGAATACATGCCATTGATTCATGTGTCCGTCAAGCCGCTCTAGAATTGGAAGAAGTCCAGGGGGGCTTGAAGGAACTGCAGGAGTTTAATAAAGGTCCGGAAACTCGCTTCGCTCCATTCCCATGGATCATCATGCTAATCTACTTGTAGATCTTGGAAATTACCACTCGGACATAATACACTGTCAAACATCAGAATGGCTGTCTCCAATTGATCCTTCGGAGCGACATGATGAGATCAAATCCGCTAGACTTTCCGGAACATGCGAGTGGATTCGCACAGATGTTGAATTTCAGAGATGGGTGAAGACGACTCCATCAGATAATAATCATGATGTTATTTGCTGGGTTGGAGATCCTGGTATTCTGCCTGAAGTGCTCTCGGATAAACCATCTGATGGCACGATGATTATTCTCACGGAGGCCATCATCGGCTTCATCTGGTGTGCCATCTGGGCTAGGAGTGATTAGCACATAGCCACCGTTCTTTATAAGCTGCTCCAAGATAGAATCCTTGGGCTTGAGGACCATCTCCAACTCGACACCGAATCGCAGCTGTTCGGGCATGTTGACTGGCTGATCGATGCGTGTAACCTGGTGAGATTGTTAGCTTGAAGCACTTCTGGTCCAGATGCAGAGTAGGTGGATGGATGTTGGTTTAACAACATCCACATCGCGCCGCGTGCCGCCCGATACTGTACCTTGGATGCCCACTACCTACCTAAGGTAGGTACCTAAACTATGTACCTCCTTAGGTAAACTCAAAACAGGCGCATGTACCTATGTACACAGCGCCAGTAGCAAAGTCACATAGACAGCCAGGTACCTACCTATGTACCTATCTCCGAAAGAACCTGGAGGCCCGTTTATTGGTGAAGTAGCGTCTATAAAGCCTAGGTTGGTATCTGGTGCCTTCTGCCTCCTGTCTAGAGGGCATCTAACTTCCAAGGTTTTCTAGCTGCAAACCTGGAAGGTGTCATTATTTCCCACCGAAGTTGTCATTATTTCGAATTTGTCGTTCCTTTGCACCAAAAGTGTCATTATTTTGCATATAAGCTGCCATTATCTCGCACTGACACTGCCCTCTTCTCTCCTGCCTTCTCTCCCTTTGTCGTGGTTGAAGCCATCCCATCATCAGGCACAAACACGAGCCATGGCCGACAACATAGAGGAGTTTGATCCTACGATTGCGAGAGTGTGGGCAGCTCACGAGCGCAGTTGCCAGATCCAGAAAGCAACCGACAGACTACAGCAAGTGGCGATGGCAGTTCGCGATCCCAATGCCAATACAACGACTGCCAGTACTGCCGGTACTGCTAGTACTGATGATGGCGATGCCAATTTTGCCACCACACGAGGGATATGGGCGCCTCCGGTATACGACTATGAGCTTCCGATCAAATCCTTCGGGCATCTGATGAGGACCTACGGCAGCAGATATACCCTCATCTTCACCGAGTCAAGCGTACTGAAGCCCTATATCCCAATCACCCAGACCCCGAGCTTGACATCGAGCTTGACCCCGAGCTTGACCCCGGGATTGATGGTCCCCTGGATCATCGAAGCCCCCCTGAACTCGATCGAGATCCTCGAGGCAATCCTCAAGCCGTCACATCCTTTCAAGATTTACACGGCTCACCATTTCCACCGCGGCTGCACTCAGACGCCTAGAGGCATGGTGCCGCTTGCCAGGACACAAAGGCTGCACGCCGAGTACAGCCGACTCCAGGGTCGACTGGAGAGCGATCGTGATATTTCCTTCATCTGCATTCCCCGTTCCGCCGTCTCCATCATCAAGGAACGACTCTTTGGGGTGTTCACGCCGGTCGTATTACATTACATCTCCATTCCTTGGTCGCTGGGCGGCACGCACCGGGCCCTGGTGAGCCCATGGGCAATGGTGCTACACAACAAGCCTTGGGAAGTGGACGGGGTGTTCCACACGTACGAGGATCGTCTGGAGGGTCTCCTCGGCAAGATAGGAATATCAGATGTCCGGTTTAAACGCAGTTTGCTGGAGCACGGGACAACGCCGATGCCAGAGTGCTTGTGGGACTGGTATGCCGGGCGGGCGGGCACGACTGCAGCGTTGCCGTATTTTGCGTCGACGGAGGAGGTGGAAAGAAACCGGAGAGAGTTCAACGAGTCCGTGCAAAACGAAGAGTCCCATCAGGGCCATGCAGGCCTGATAGCTTCGTGCTGTCTTCCAACAGCCGAGGGAAAATGGAAGAAGACGATGTAGTGTGAACAGGGGTTTCCATCACGGTGCCGTCGTCCGTTGGATGCATCAACGAGAAGGCAGGACCACCGTGCTTTCGTGAGCTGAAAAGATCTTCCCTCGGAGTACTGAAACAGGATAGCAGGCAGGGCCTACCTACTAGCCAATACCAATTCTATGTATCACGTAAAATGAGGCCTTCAAGGCAGTAGAATGTAGGCAAATCGTCAATTGGGTCAACCATAATAATTCCAAGTCTCTAGAACTAAGGAAATCGTGCAAGGTGAAGTGAGTAGTAGCGAAATGAGTCACCTGAACTTCATCAGGGCTAGACCATTGTCCCCCAACTCAATACCACCGGGGCCGAATCCGAATAACTGTAAAATGATTTGATGTTCTCTATTGCCGCCATAGTCCGGCGCTTCTAATGGGGAACGCAATGAAGACAGCATGCTTCACGAGAGCCGGTTCCAGGAGAATTGTGCTTCTGGAAGCACAAGACAACTGACCCCAAGCACCTTTTTCAAATACTGAGAATAGAAGGGAGGATGCAAGAAAAGGAGGCAGCGTAGGTCACAGTGGAAGGATATCAGTTTGACAGTTAGAGAATGAGCGAACGAGAGAATTAACATGCCCTACCCTGGGCCTAGCCTGGAGGTAGATACCTAGTCTAATGCTCGTTTCTATTGGCTCAGAAAGTTTTAAGCACCTCCTTGAGCACGCAGCAGGAATACTAAAGAGCCTACGTCGTGGTCGTACCTTCCCATGCTTGTCCTGTTAGGTTAGTGGTGGTACTTGTAGTGGTGCAAGGAATCCTGCCCAAGATCTGAATTATTGCTTCAAACATCTCCAACCAGCGCTCGCTATATATGGTGACAAGACCCCACGCTCCCACTATAGATTCAATACTATAACTAACCTATTTTGTCTTGCCTTGCAGACTACGCACAATCAACAAGTAAGTAGCATCTCAGCCTAAATATTGGGCGCACGCCTGGAATTACTGAGGCTCTGTAGCTAACAATATATCAAGACACAAGGAACAACACCGGTAAGTCCACAGAGCTGCCCAATCTAATGCTTTAGATGACCTCGCCCTTATACAGCAAGCAAGTAACAAGTAAGTCGGTCTTCACGGACATAACCAATGCTAAACTATGTGAGTACTGACTTATGCCGTTCTCTGAAGTGGCGCCAACCAAGCCCGGTACGTATGATTAGAGAAATCAGTCGAAGCTGGAGGGACTCATGACTAACGCATCTATATCGGTGAAAAGAGAAGCCCAAGAAGCAGAGTGATCCTATCTACAAACTCGCTTTACGACGGGTGAGAGTACGTTCTAACACTCATCCTAGAGAACGCGAAAGTCAACAGTCAGCAGCCATACTTAGTGCCCAACGAAGTATCATGACTGACATCAATCTCTCCTTCAAGAAGACAATCGTGTCAAGAAGCGTCGGTACAACCTTTCGCTTGTCTAGTCGAGAATGTGACACTGACTTAGACGATAGCGGCCGACAACATAAGACATAGTTCGTCTCGGCTGTAAAAGCCTCAACTGACAAACGTCTTGAAGTGTATCCACTGTGGCAAGCCGGGCCACACCCCGGCCAAGTGCTGGCTTCGACCAGCGGTAAGTACAATAGCTGCATCTCACGCCATTCCAGGTTTGATGAGTTGCTAATCACCGACATAGAACCAAGGAGAGGTAAGTACTCGAACAGAGGAAGGCTTTGAGAATCGTGGTGACTAAGTAATTCCATCTATCTGTTCAGGCTCCAGTCACCGAGGTATGTACTCAGTATCCGTGATAAGCAAAGCAACTTCGACTAATTTGCGCGCAGAACTCCGCCCGAGTACATTACAGTCAGATATATCTGTATTATAACTTAACTGACTTATTTTGTCTCAAGTTCTGGCGCAATAAGCGCAACGTTACTGGCACCTTTATCATCTACTGATTTAGACTAGTTGTCTTGGCTAACAAGCCTTAGAACAACCTGGCCATGGCCAACGTAAGTTTTCCTAGTGTCTTCGAGGCATTGTAGCAGTAAAGTGCCGAAAGTCTGACAAGGCTGGTAAACTCGTCAGATCAAGCTGAACGAGATCTCGGTGGGTGACAGCACAGCTACATAGCTATGGCTATAGATACTAACACATTGTCAGGCTCTTCAGGCCGAGCACGACGTGAGCCTGAATTACCGCTATTTACACTTCTATGAGGAATACTGACATAGGAATGCGAACTTCAGAAACTATGCAAGGAGGCCGCCGTAAGTTGTCTATACCTTAAGAGTATTATGGGATTTTCTGTCTAACTTTGTCGGTTTTGAAGGATTGTGAGAAGAAGGCACTGGTACGTTAATAGCACTTTTACTCGTGAGCTATACTGATTTGTTATGTTTCAGGCCGCTGTCGAGAATGGCGTCGTAAGAGACCATCTATCTACTATTCTGACCATATGAACGAAGACTGAAGCCTGATAACTTATAGAATAACAACAACGCCACCACGGTAAGCCCGCAGACGTTCTGTGTCTGGACGATTACTGACATGTAGTTAGACCAAGTACCAGCAATTTGTAAGCGGGCTTGATGGCTCCCAACTTCAGCTTAGCATTCGCTAACACAGGAGGTTTAATCAGTTGGCCGAGTAAACCGAACCGTAAGTGGAGACAGCATATTCGGTTAGGCCATAATGACAGATTGAAGATAACAATAAGCAGAGATGGCGAGGAGGACCAGCGCTTTTTGGGGTCTGTAAGTAGTGCCTCGCATTGGCTGTTACGGTTCTACTGCTAACGAAACGCGATTAGTTATGTCTTATAACAAACGACGCGGTCAGTAGCTCATTGCTCGTTTGGTGTTATCGATTGGCCAATCTCAATGACTAACATATATATGACTTTTACAGGCTTGAGACAATTAGGAAGTGTAAGCAACCGCGCTTGGAGTAGCCCTTTCCATGAATGCTAACACTGGTTAGAGGGTAGACTAATACTATGGGCTAAGCCCCTTAGAAAGATATGTCAATAACACAAACCTTCCCTTTTTTCAGCGACTTGTAGACTATCGTGTCATTCGTCTCTCTATGTGAAGGCTATGAACATGAACTCTACACTGTATTAAAAAACAACTACTATTATAGAATGCTGCTTTTCGTGTAGACGAACCTCCTCTTGATAGTATATGGGTTCGAGAGCCATATCATCTGCTTGCCAAGCCCCTGCTTGTCTTGATCGAACGATTGCCATCTTGGCACCTTCTCGCAATGTAGTGCTCGTTAGCTTGACTGTCAACTCCCGGAGATACAGTCATAGGCATAATGAGCCCCGCCTCCAGTCAGCGT